GGCAACATGAACGGGACTTTCTTTTGGCCAAGTGTTTCGCGTGGGCGCGTCGTTCTCCTTGTAAACTTATGTCGTCGGGTTACTATTTCGTAGCCATTGGAGATGGTTATTTGCCGGGCCAAGTCGCGCGATTCTTCCCTTAGTTCCCTGGTAGTGCACACAGAGATGGCTGTTCGAAACAGCTTAAGAAGGGCAAGTCTAGAGGAATCGGTAGCGATAGTTGAAATACCACCGACTACTCTACGTCGCCAATTAGTTCGCAACCGCCTGTATGACCGTCTGTGTGAAACAACAAATTGCGTAATTTGCCCTTACGGCAGGGACGGTGATTGCATGAGTTCAGGTACGATATACCTGATCTCTTGTAATAATTGCGGAGATGAATATATTGGCGAAACGGGCAGACCTTTGTGTATCCGTATAAAAGAACACCTAGATGGCAAACGAAAACTAAGACGAAGCACCCCACTACGCACACATAGGATACAAAGCATAGCGGAGACGATTTTGAAGTAAAGGTCAATATCCTTCCGCAGGAGTCCAAAACACCAGCGCGAAAACTCCTTGAGGCTTTTTGGATCAATGCCAAAAACTCTACAATGAATAGCAGGGATGAATGCCCGGAGGTCATACGCGACCTGATCCCGTAGGTTCGCATCGATTTTTGATGAGGGATGGTGCAGTCGTCAACCACATGCGACTATAATCAGCTGCTCTAAACTTCCTCATTGGAAGTCACGAAAAAGCGGTGGGTTTTTTTCGAGAAGTTGTTGATCATGTAATTACCAAAGAGTCTTTCGTCTTTTTGTAAGTGTTATTGAAGCGTTTGGCCTAGTAGATTGTATATCAGTATACCCTTCCAGGCTCTGAAGAAGGCGATACTGCCGAAACGTCAGCTAGCGTTGTATTGTGTTTTTTATGGAAGTAAATGTATGCTGATTATACTATAATAATTCTTTCCAACTACTTTTTTCTCCACTTTATAACGATGGTATTGCTATACACTTGAAAAGTCGTTTTTGGACAAAAAATCCAATAAAGATGATGGATATAGAACTTCTGCAGAAACAGCCTAGGAGATTTGAAGTTTGTTGCAGCTTCTTAGTTAAGTAAATCAAAACTTTTAAGGCTTTGTTAACTAAAGAAACGACCCCTTAAAACATTATTTTTCGAACAAAAATCATGAAGAAGAACATAGAAATAGAAAAGACTTACTTAAAAAATGTCAAAATTAAGTACATCGTACCTCCATGGTAGCATTAAATCCTATTTTAAGTTGTCCATTGGCGTCCTTGTCGAATGCTCTCTGGTAAGTTTGCTTGAACAACGATGAGTTGAACGAGTCGCCCATTACCACATTACCTTGAACTGACTACTTTCATATTCTAAGGTCTTAGTAAATTGAAAAACAAAACCAAATTCTGCTCTATATACAGCAAAGAGTTATAATTACCGAGCACTAATCTACCGTAGTGGTAGAAGAAAATGGTACCGAGAGCCAAGTAGCGAAAACATGTTGGTCCATTACCTCTGCTCTCACCCTTCATACAGAAATGAGGCACTTGTGATAAACATGTTTAGCTACCACCAGTATGTTCATAAAAAAAAGGAAGAAGGAATCCCTGAAACTGGGGCGGTAAATCGCCATTTCAAATGGCTACGAAACCGCAGCTCCTCGGGATAGGTGTAGAGGAAAAAGTACGCTCCCAAACAGTAATTCCAGCAATAACAAGGTCACATTTATCCTGACATTCGTCGCCTATGTTATACTCTGTGCCGCCGCTCTTCACCAGTTCACTGCAAGACTTACAACGAACACAACGTCTAGTGTTTAAAAGAATCTCTTAATTACGCGAATAAAAATTTATGTATTTAGATCGTCTGCTGAGATTAGGAAAGTGTCTGGTTAAGTAGATTGCATATGAAATTGACCCTTCCAGGCTCTGAAGAAATGTAGAGAATAGAGACGCGAAACCGCCGAAACGTCAGCTATTGCGAATAAACAGTGTAAAGACAGTCTAATATCTGTTCGTCAGAATAACACTCAATCATCCAAAAACTAACATAGAGAGAATCGGTACCAATATCTAAACCGGATTCTCAAGAACCTTTTAAAAATGCAAAAACTTAGCTTTACAGCTTGTAAAACGATATAGTAATCGTGGTTCTGATGAAATCGAAAATCCCGAAACGTTTGCCATAGCAAAGATTTATAACAACCTCATGTAAGGTCATAAGGTCATCACTAAAAAATATTCAGCATACATACTGAGGTCCAGTGAAATTTGGAATTGGATGCTCGCTTTCAAATATACCGACTAATACTAACCCGATTTCTGCAGGACGAATTGTCACCAAAGAAGTGAATAATTTCAATCCACAATTGCACAAACACCGTCTTGAATCATGGGAAGCTGCCGAGATATGTGAGGTTACACCAGCGCGGCTAGAATCTTCTCTAAAAGGGCAGCACTGGGGACGCCATTTCATTCGTGCGGTGCTTCATTCTACTCGATTCCACTAGATGCGACGGCAGCGAAGACCAATAACGTAAAAAGAAACAACTGCTATGGACTCGATTCGAGTTATCGTAGCTCCGTTGAAGATGACGAAACGCTGGCCATAATATAAGATTTGTGACAACCTCGTAGGAGCAATATTACTCCATTTCTTCGCTTTTTATACTTTAATTCTATCTATTTCACTAGGGAGAAAGTAGCGCAGTACAGTGAACCCGGTTATTAAGCAGACCACTCAACTCACTCAGGCCACTTATTCCCTTGGGATAGGTCGAACCAATTTAATCCAGATGAAAACACCCTAGCACCGTTACAGGATTCCAAGGAGAATCCAAATGGCCAGTATTCAACTATATTCGAAACGAAGGCGAAAGCATCTTAAGCAACAGCCCAACCCACGTGTAAAAAACGTCTAAAAACTTTCGCAGATAGTGGATGCGAGGAAACGAATCGAATGCAATGAATGCTGGTATCCAAACAGTGTGATACACGTGATCTTGGGTTATGTAATTAAACAAAATTCATTTCACCTGCCTATTTTCTTTAACTGCCAGATTCTTCGGATCTTTTGTGCCAGAGAGCTACACCTAGATCTTATACACGATAATTTTAATTGTACGCCTGGAAATATCGATAGTTGGCCACCTACTTAGGAAACAGCAATTTTCCGTGTGACGACGTAGTGTGAACAAATGGACTGTTGATTCCGCTACCTTGTTGAGTTCAACATATGTGGATGCGTTCGCTTATTCACACGTACATTGATATTTATTAATTTTCTAGTTGTTTCGTAAACAGCGGATTCAACCAAAGGATCGCTTTCTAAACACCGAAAAATAAGAAATAACCTAACATGCATATCGAGGACTTGGCAGAAGAACTACAGAGGGGACAAAGGCGGTAACGACGAGTAAACCCACGGTGTTAACTGTGATCAACGTATATCATCTTCGTTAAAATGCCAAAATCGCAGTTTTAAGCTTCTATGAATTCGAAATATCTCTAATTATTCCTCATCTTAACCTGGATATCGCTACCAACGGTCGAACACGTGGTCTACTAACGCTTAATCAGGTGTGAAGCAAGGATACCAGAAGCACTGCAATCCACACTACTGTCCAGCAGTACTCATATATTCAGCACCTATCTTGACAATTGGAAGAGGAAAAGAAATGAATGGCAAAAGTGCTGGGGTCCATACAACTCGTAAAGACGGACCGTCCAAGTATCCAAGTAAGTAAGAAGTACTTTGACAGTATGAAGTGCTGAGATATTTGCAAAACTCCGGACCACAGGTGTATGCAGTGGGGAACGAACACGCGCTGTTGTCCTTACCGGGGAGCAGCGCACTTCACCACTACACCATCCGGGTCCTTCGCTTTGCATGTATCTCAGCTAGTTCTATCGATCTTTTTGCCATCAGCAATCACCCGTCAACGGGATTGAGGAGCCAATATCGGCATTGAACCCAGTTAAGCTGAGGCCTCGTTATAATCACAATCTTAACTCTTTTATTTACTGCCGATAGAACTAGCTGAGATACATGCAAAGCGAAGGACCCGGATGGTGTAGTGGTGAAGTGCGCTGCTCCCCGGTAAGGACAACAGCGCGTGTTCGTTCCCCACTGCATACACCTGTGGTCCGGAGTTTTGCAAATATCTCAGCACTTCATACGAGTTATATTTCACAACATACCCTGCCATTAAGAAGAAAAAGGCGGTAAATAAAAGAGTTAAGATTGTACTTTGACAGTTTTGCTAGACAGCATACTTATTGATGCAAGTACTCGCAAAGACCTGAAACATTTAGTGTGCACTCTTTGAAAAATCGTATTGCAACGTAAATTTCACATTAGTATGAGAAGTACAAGGAATGCCGAGAAAAAAATAATCTGCTCAGAGAAGAGCAGTGAACCGAAGAAAAGAAGATGGAGGAGAAGGAACAGTGCCGAAGAAAACTGGAATCCATGGATAACGTACTTTTGTAACACTTGTAGTCATTTTAACCTTTGGTAAAGGTCCCGCACCATATGTTAAATTTATGAAGGCTCCAATTTGTTAGAAGAAATAAACGTGTAACCTCCTGTCGAGTTAAAACAATTTTTCATTTCAAGTAGTCCTGTTTGGTCAAGGGCGCATGAGTAGATGTCGATGACATGACCATTTTTCACAGCACGAACAGCAAGTGAATCATAGAATTTTGTGGCCTGAAAACCAATTCGATGAAACCCTAGCCATCAAAACTAATAAAGCTTAGAATTCACAATACAAAAGAGGGAGCAAAAGTCGGCTAAATTCTTTGAAACTACCTTTTTCATGTATACAGCGTTGTCTTCTTTGATTGTATGCCATGATCTAATCGGAGTCTTCAACTCTTCACCTACCACAGCACCAGGTCCATGAGTGCAAGCACCGCCGATGAAAACCATAATGCGGGCTCCCGTACTGGGAAAGCAATGCTGAAGTCAAGAAAGTGAAAAGGATAAGGAGTAACATAAAAATCATCAACTGAACTCACTTCGAGTAATGTGACAGCTACGGCAAGTGCGGCGCCAGTGGCGCGAAGTGGTCTATGACCTTGAGGTACAGGCCAACGATCCACAGTAATTTGATCAATGATGTCGTTGATTGATTCGTCACATTCACTGATTGGCTAAATGCAAAATTTTGTGTGTAAAGCTCGCTTTCATTCGCTTACAGTTGCCTTTGGTCTGCATATTTCAGTGTGACTTTTCAGTAAACTCCGTTCCATTTTCCACATTTCAAGACGCTGCAGAGCGAGAAAAGCATCATGCAGAATGAAACTTCACGAGAACAGCAGTATTCGGAGAAGGAAGCTGTAGGTCGGCGGAAGAACACGGAACTCCACGCTGTTCGGGTAAACGATGGTCTCAGCTGTCTGCAAGGTAGCTAGAAGTTTGGCTGATAAATCAACCCTGTCAAGAATTCTACACACCACTCGGAACACTTGTACGGCGCCTTCTTAAACACAGTCAGCACACAAGCAAGACTGCGTACCTCAGACCTTTGAATTTATCACATCTTTGAGATTACACTTCGAATTCGAGATGTATACACCGTGACCATTCAGTGACAGTAGGATGATCCCTATTATAACTGTAGGCATGAAGTTTTCTTGCATTCGCTCCACTTTTACTATAATCTCGAATTGAGGTTATATTTCAGACTTCCTGTTCCCTTTCAAGCCAGACTCTAATTTCGCCAATGATAAAAGTACCAAACATAAGCCTGAGTTGCGATCAGGAACATAGAGGAAGACAAAGCGCTAGATAACATCAATGCAGATTTTCTTTGAGCTAGAACTTATGTGGTGAGGTATTACCCTCACCCGAAATTACGATAAACTTCCAAAAGTAGACACATTTCTCTAACTTTTGGATGTTACATAAAAGCATAGTCGCATATTTAGCACAATTATGGGGATTTTTACACAAATTCAATTAATTTTACCATGGTAAAACATTAGGAGAATTTAGGCATTTTTATGGCAGACTTAACCTTATCGTTGTAAGGGTGCAAAAAACTTTATTCCAAAAAAAAAGTTGCGATCAGGAAAAAAGGTAATCTGTTCTTGAAATATTCTCGGCGTTGATCAATCTCTGAGGGATGAGCAATGCATTCGACTTCATTAAGCAACGTTGGAAGGTGATTCAACGCATGTCTGACCTTTACAATGACTAGCGGTGGCCCACCGATGTATCCAGCTAGTGCTGCTATCCTCCCAGACAAGTCTGGTACCAATTTGCCAACCCCGGAGGGATGGAAGGCTTGGTAGGTGGGCTACGGGCGCGGGAATCGATTTCACGTGTGTTGCAGGACGTCTCCGACCACTGCGCCACAGGCGCCCTTCTTGAAATATAACAGGAAAAATTTTACACTGTTCGAAAAGGCAATAGATTTTAACGTTTTTACCTTAATCAATATGGCAAAGATGTGCTCACCTTAAAGATCAAGGAAAAATAATTTTCAGCTACCACATAATACCCACACACAAATCGAGCTGGGTACTTCGCTCATAATATAAAAACAAATAAGAAGTAATATACTTTTCCACAATAACGTGACCATACCTGAAGGAACTTGTTGAAAGTTATAGCTTGCATTCCAATTGGAGCACATGCAGGACCACCTTGATGGGCAACATTTGTTCTTTGTACAGATCCAGGATGACCACCGCCCACTGGCATAGGGGCTGTTGCTCCTGTGGGAATAGAATTCACCTGTGCACCACCATGAGCAGTGGGACGCGGAGATCCACCCATGTTCATTGCTAGAATGTCCTTCAATTGCTTTTGTGCGACTTCTTTTGTGCCCTGAAAAATCGAAACAGAGTAATCATAGAAGTTTACCAACTTGAGGATATTTTTAAGTAAATGCAAACGCATTGTGCTCCCGGAGCCGACGAATTACAACATAATACTTTCTATGTAACTAATACATTACAACGGTTCCCCAAACATCGACTTACACCGATCAATCTTAGCTAGTACCCGAAAATCATTACTCTCGGGTTTTGTTTAGAAATATATGAAACAATACAACTATAACAGGTTTAAAAGAAACAATACACTAATCCATCTATAAATTTAGTGAAAAAAGACATACACGCTGATAGCAGAAAACTATAAGCAAAATTGACCCTAGTGCTTTTTTCTTTCCTTTCTTACGTTAACATATCACCCGTAGGTTTAAATAAAGTAATGCAAAGAGACATTACAGGCGTAATAGGCGTTACCCATTTGTGGAAGCCCACATTATCGATTGTTACGTGATAGTGGAAGAGATCGAAAATTTTTAATCCTTCTCCTTCGCCATGGAATATACAACGCAATAGTTACGGATGACCGTCATTGCGCGGGTCGTCGATCGGCAGTACACCCTGGAGAAACCAAGACCTCCCCACGAGTTAAGAAAATTGGTAGCAGAGGTGTACAGGTGGACGAAAACACTAACGTGTTTTCTGCAAGCTCCGAAACCCCTTTTTGCCACACGAAATTTTTGGAGATCCAACTGAGGACTGGTGTTTCCACAGGTGCAGTCGACATAAATCATCAATAACGACCACTTTTTTACCTAACGTCCCGTTCATCGTCGAGTGCTTCGAGCGGGCACCAGTAAAACTCTATGTTCCTGTCGTGTGCAAAATTAACGCAGCGGATTCTACTCTCTCTAAAGACTCGCTGAGCATCATATCTTCTCTATCTCAGCTTCGAGAGTTTTGATGAAGAACTTTGACCATCGGCTGTGTGTTCATCCTGCTGTGCGTTTAACATATCGATCACTAACGATAAAATCAGCAAACTGATGATGGAATAGCATTCAATTTCATGGAATTCCATTCCTTTTGGCTAGATGTTGTGGCTTCGTAGAAACCTCTCTTTATGCCAATAATAATATAGCATTGGGACTCTGGTAGCAGTCTTTGAATCCGTAAGGGAGGATTTTTATATCGTTCAGGACTGTAAGATAGTCCAGAGTTTTCATAAAAGTTTACATTAAAACTGTGTCGAAGGCATTATTTAGCACCAATGGTTACTCCTTCAAGATTTCCAACCAACCACCACTTTATACGTTTTGCTGGCGAAGCCACAGCAGATGGTGTAGAAGGTCTTCTCAAAATCTAGTTTCAAAAAATACTGCTCCTTCTCCTTCGCTCCGACCTCCTACCATCGCTGATCTGCTCAGCATTCCAAGTTCAAACGTAAGCTCCCGGTTATCTAATGCACGTGCAACATATTCAAGTACCAGCTCAATAGTTACAGAAATAGGCATCCCATAGTAACTTTCTAAACTACCAGCTCGCTTGCAAGCATCGTGAAGTTACCGGATTCTGGTTAATAAAGGATAAAGGATAAAGGATAAAGCTCTCGGTGTTGATTTAACCCTGAAGGATGCATCACACAACCGACTTCATTAAGCATCGCTGAAGATGACTGAATGCGTATCTGACCTATACAATGACTCGCGGCATTCGCCGATGTATCGAGCCAGTACTGCTATGCCTCCAAACAAGCCTAGCACCAATTTGCCGCCCCGGTGGGATGGAGGGCTCGGTGAGCCTAGGGCACGTGGATCGATTCCATGTATATCACAAGTTCCGGTTACTTCTTTAAAACAGTCGATTTGATTGATAGAAATTTCGTTTACCATGACAATGGGGGACAACATCGTGTTTCTTCCACCAAATTCCTACTTATTCTTATGAAAAACTGGTCACACTCAGATACAAGAAGATCGAAAAAGCAGAACTCAGTTATGAAAAACAGTTTCTGCTTCAGCACTACAATGTTCCCTTCAAAAAAAAAAGAAAAGAAAAAAGACAAACTACAAGTAGAAAAGAACCTTAATATAAAAAAAAAATAAGAACTAATCAATGTTTTTACTTTTAGTAACTCGAAAGACCGACTTTCTATAAACTTCGGCATAGATAGTTGATATATTTATTTATGTGATCTTATAAACTGATCTTCTTAAGCTGACGGAGGTTGGTATAGATCTTCGTTGTCGTTGTTGTTTTTGATGTTATTGATCGATGGCTGACGTTTCGGTAACTTCGCCTTGCTCACAGCCTTGATGTTACGTACGGGACTTTTACGTTTTACGGGACGTTTTTAATTTTATTTGCTGCTTATTGCTTTTTTCATGCCATGTATCACGTGAAATACGACCACAAAGATACCGAGAAATAAGCAACACTCGGAACTTCATACGGGCTTCAAACCCGCGATTACGCTTTCCGCGAACTCCCGTGCTATCCGCCACACCCACTGAGGCCCTTGCATTTCCCTTCTCTCAACCGGCTTTTTCTTTAATGTAGTGATGCTTCGAGAAATCACCGATTAACGGGAATGATCTGGAGAGCACAAATCGGCATTGAAACCAGTAAAAAAAAAAAACTACTCACTTTGAAAACGAAGCTCCGGCTAATTCCCTGTACGTTTAACTCGTGAAGTTGAACCATTCGACCAAAACTAATAATCCCAACTACTGCGTCTGCAGGAAGAAGAGACAACGCCGTCTGAAAATTAATCATCATTTACAAAACAACAAAGAAGTATTTTTGTAAAAAACTGTCTAAACTGTGATTAAAAGTTTCGCAAAAAGTATCAACCTCTTTAATAACAAATGGTAAGGCAATAAGGAAGATTTTCAAATAGCAATAATTCTCAACCAAATGGACCAAAACTTATAAGCAAACTTTATTCCAGTTCTCAAAAAAAAAAAAGATGGAAAACCACTAAAGAAGATGAAAACATTAAAATACGAACCGAAAACCGACCACTTTGAAAGCGATATTTCTTATTGTCGTAAGTGTAAGATCGCCGTTTAAATACTTCTACGTTTCACTACTTCACTAACTCACACCTCAGTGTCTTTATATCTAAACCCAAGTGAGTTTGTTCAACCACCTGTAAGCTTTCTTTCAATGCTTTGAGTTCTTCCGATGTTATGCATGTGTCCACCACAAACATGAAGATCGGCGGCATAGTGGTGGCTTTCTGAAATGCGCTTAACTATTTTTGGACTATGAAATTATCTGTAAACAAGTATGCAGGTCTAAAGCATTGCAACTTCGTTACATAAACAAATAAACGTGTTAATGTATATATATATATATATATATATATATATATATAATGCACAGGAATAAATAAAAAGGACAAAGCTTTTGGCGTCGAGCAATTCCACGCCATGCACTCGACTTCACTAAGCATCGTTGGAGGTGATTAATGCAAATCTACCCTTCACGATGACTCGTGGTGGCCTACCGATGTATCGAACCAGTGCTGCTATCCTCCCACACAAGTCTGGTATCAATTTGCCGACTTCGTAGGGATGGGAGGAATGGCGAGTCTGGGGCGCGGGAATCGGTCCCATGTGTAGTGCTGGACGCCTCCAACCACTGCCCTACACGTGCCCTAACATATATACGCATATATGCATGTATCATTTATATTTGTTTTACTTTACATAGCTCGTCATCACATCTATTGCGCGACACTCAACATTCACCGCATTCGATTCGCTTTCCCCGCATTCATCGACAACAAAGGTCTTCGAGCATTCCGCGTGTTGTTCGGCCTTCTGCTTGAGGATTTCGTTTTCTCCATGAATGATGCGGAATGCTAGTCGGGTCACTTTTCCTTGCAACCTTGAAGAGAACCGAGCTAGTCGTTCCCTATGGATTGAAGGAGAGCACTGAGATGGGTAGAACCAGCACTTCGCTTCCTGATGGACTGCATCGTTCACCACTGCACTTCTCCAAAATATGCGTATATATATATGTACAAAAATTGTAAGATGTCTAGACCTTCTTCCTAACTGCTGATTACCAAACAATGGCGCATCGATGGAAAGTGAATCGTCTTTGAAAACTTTTGAATTCTTTCTTCTAATTTCACTTTTTAGCTCAGTAAACTTCAGTGATTTTTTCTCTTTCTGGAGCTTAGATCGGACTTTACATATCTACTTCTTGTTTGCGAGATAATTGCCCTGAATGAATACATCGGTTGTTCACAGAAAGTCATTTAATGACTGTATGCATGATGCATTCCTAAAGGACAGACCAACACCACTTGTAACTATTCACAAGATCCAACGACTAATAAGCTTTGCCATGGTGAGAAAAGGAACTAGAAGTGGGAGCGGTGAGCATTATGGATAGAAGACTAACAATATTCTATCGAGTTTCTAGACAAACTGTGTCTATAATTCCACCATAAAACTTGCAAAACCTCGATCTGTCAATTTAGAATAGGTCTTCATGATCCACATCAGCTGCAGGCACTGGATAATTAAACTATTACAAGATAGCAAAATGATTAGTCGCCCATTTCTCACCTTCAACGTGTATTCGATCGTGCTAAACTGTGGGTACAGTTCAGGAGGACGATTATCTTCAGCGATTGCAGCATAATGAGCAGGGAAAGGATTTCTTTGGTTGCAGAACGGGCAAACCCAAGTTTTGGCACGAAAGTCAACGAAACTAAAAGAAAACATCTGATTAGACCAATACGCAGGACTACAGCTTACCTACATGTGTAATTAAGCTAACTCAGCACTTCTTTAGTTCGGACTATAAAGGAAAACACTGTCACTTGGTGAGAAAAACCACTCTACGACATTGACCATACATGTATTGAGATGCTATTTACAAATTCAAATTCACATTTCCTTGCCAAGTTTTCTTAAACTGTTTTGCTGTCAGCGACCACGACTACCGGTGTATCAGAATCAATCAATGACGTTGTTCTTGAAAGATAAAAAACCATAAAACCACTGAGTAGGAACACAAGATTCCAGAAGAAACAACACACCAGAGTGGGTTAAGTATTGCCTTACAGGTGGGTTTCTGACATAGAACAGGGTCGTACTCCAGCGCAGGTTGTTGGGGTTGGTCCGCAGGCCGTTCCTAAAAGTTCACCAAATAAGTGGTTGTATTGAAAATAACATGAAGTCATGTACTTCAACTTGCGTTCATTGGAGAAAATTAGCCTTAAAAAAGGCAGACTGAGTTCTCTAGTCATATTTTTTTAAAAGAAAACCTAAAGGGAACCTAAAGGGAGGTACTAGAAGCTAAGTCAAATCGCCGATTTAAGATCACCATGCACTTCAACCTAAGACGACAAGTCGTCAGATGTTCCATAATCACTGCAAGATGCAATGAGATAATGTAGATGAAAGGATAAAGGATAAAGCTCTCAGCGTTGATCGATCCTAGAGGTATGCGCCCTGCATTCGACTTCATTAAGCATCGTTGGAGGCTGAATGCGTATCTGGCCTTTACAAATGACTCGTGGTGGCCTACCGATGTATAGAGCCACTAATGCTATCCTCCCAAACAAGTCTGATACCATTTTGCCGAACTCAGAGGGAGAGATGGCTTAGAGAGCTTTAGGTGCGAGGATCGATACCACGTGCATTTCAGGGCACCTCCGACCACTGCGTTACATGGGTCTTACAATATAGATAACTTATAAAAATATCTGCTGAAGATACTGAACCTCATACTGGCATAAACTGCAGAAGGATGCGAACTCTATCACGAACTCACCTTGAGAGGTGTGTAGAAGCACGCCACAGGTACGATCAGTTTCTGAGCATCCACCCTGCTGTGGGGCCATAGGTTCCATGTGAATTGCACTCCATCAACAGCTTGTTGTGTTGCCAAGTACTCTTCCCAAGAGGTCATATCCGAGCTGAAACCAAGAAATGTGCTTTTGAAAATCCACACTCAAGGAAAGAATATGACACGGAAAAAACGGATAGCACTACATAGTAGTTAATGTAAGTTTCTATTGCTGAAGTCGTCCATGTCACAGGTCGCAGTACTTGGCGACCAACGAAAAACACTCATTCACAATCGCATTCATGGATTACAGAGCTCAACCTTACAATTATCCGAAAGGTAACAAGGTGACCCTACAAAAACAGATCACTCCCCTTCGAAAATTCAGCTTGTAGAGCGATATGAGGTTTCACTACATGGCGAAACGAATGAACACAAGGAAATAAGTTGGCAAAAGCCGGACCGACAAGTGTCCTCAGCGCCTCGCCACAATCCGACCACGTAAGCGAACACGCGGCCAAACGCCGCGCGACGAAAAAGCGTCGCACTCGAACTCTCCAAAACGCCATTTTTAGCCATGATTCCGGGGTTTTGAAGCCCGCACGGAGGTTTACGGAACATATTTGCTAGATATTCTATCTCAGAAGCACCACTTACTGCAGCCCTAAAAGACACCCGTCTAGCATCGATTTAAATATCAGCTTTGACAAGAGAGAACAGACAAGCTAGGTCCTCTCGCCTCCACCACTACCTTCCAGTGCCCGATAGTACTTGTACTGTCTCTCCGGAGCCTAACGTCTTGTTACCCACTTTTACATTGAGTGGGATCAAATATTCTCCTTGTGAGACGCGGTACGAGTTTTCGTGTCCTACTAATCACCATTCGCCCTTTAGTTGTCGTTTTTAGCCCAATGGAAGTAGTGGAGTACGTGGTTGCGAGTTTCTGGAAGCTGTTATTTGAAATAACATACTTTTCCTTGGATCGTTAGATGGCCTGTGTTCACTTATTGTACGGTCCCCAGCATAATTTCCAATTTTTCGGTGTTTTGCTGTTTTAGCTATTGTGGTTCCTCGGAGTCCCGAGTTCAGCTTAGCCAGTCTGACTCGGGTCGTGACCACCACAGACAGTCGCCACCCTTGTGGATGAGAGCTAGATTTGCCACTATTCGACTAGTCTGATACCAAGACGGTATTAGGTACAGACTTGTGCGTTTTTGAAATTTCAATCTGCTTCTCGGTAGCTTTTTCGTATGATCTCGAGGAAGGAGCTGACGATGCAGGTCGACGCATTTCTTAACATAAAAGTACTTGGTGTATACGACGACAAGCAAAGCCCAGGAACAGTACAGTATAGTTCTTGGGAAATATCACATAGAATAGTAACTAATGAGAAGGAAGTCTCTTGAAATAGTTCTGCATTATGAAAATAGAGAGTTTGGGTAAATGCAGTGATGCAGTTCCCATTCTTGAAAATGCCACATCGAGAAAAAGAACAACTGTGGCCCATCGACAAGGGTCATCGGTTCTGATGAAGACGAAGACGTCCAAACGTTAGCCGAAATAAATACATCTATCAACCTCGCGTAAGCTCAACAATTTAAACACATGTTGAACATTTCTGGTTTTAGGTGGTAACCACTCATTTTCCGGAAGACTCTTCATTCAAATGAAGCGAAGCATTATTGGTTTACATACTCTCAGAAAATGCTTATAAATTACAATGAAGGATAAGGGTGAAGGGTAAAGCTCTCGGCGTTGATTGATCCCTAGAAGATGCGCCATGCATTCGACCTCATTAAGTATTGTTTTGAGGTGACTGGATGCATATCTGGCCTTTACAATGAATTGCGGTGGCCTACCGATGTGTCGGGCCAGTGCTGCTATCCTCCAAGACAAGTCTGGTAGCAATTTGCCGACCCCGAAGAGATGGAAGGCTTGGTGTGCCATGAGCGCTACGAACGATCCCATGTGTGTTGCAGGGCGCCTCCGACCACTGCGCCACACACGTCCTTTAAACTGCAATACTATGAGAATATTAGAATTGTTCTATGGTATAAAAGTATTGCAGTTTAAAGTCAGTGATTGTCTCATACAAATACTTGGTATGTTGCGTGACTTCGGCTGCTGTGTGGGGATTTTTTCGTCTCCGTCGGGAATGTCGTTGAATGCTGTTCGACTCGATTCTTTTTCGAGTCCCGCGATAATGTGCTAGGGCGTACCCACGTGCATTAGAGTGGAGTCAGCTTCTTTCGGACTAGTCTCGTACCAGTTTCCCAGTTTCCCGACCATGAAGCGACGAGAGGCTTGGTTACTTCGGTGAGGGGTCGTACTAGCGCCTGTGTTAGGTAGGGCCATCCGCCTAATGAGCCGAACGACCCCCGCTGCGCTACCTACTCCCTAAATCACTCAACTATGCTGTAATTTTCTCAAATGGAATGACCATCATGTGCCCAAATTGCAAAAGAGGGCATGTTTGCCCAATTAAGGACATTTTCTAAAGTTAATAATTTTGCAGATCAAGGATTTATTCGACAAGAAATGAAGAAAGTATAGTTAAAACAACAAATGGAAACAACGAAACACCCTTATTTGTGTAAGGAAGCAGCGAAAGAATTCTTTTATAACAAATTTATATTATGTCCTTATTTACATAAAAAAACAAAATAATTTACGAACTACCAAGCACTAAGGTTTTCTAACTAGCCAGATGTCTCTAAGGTACCTTAGGGCTAAGTTATACATAACGATGAAAAAGAAATAAAATGTGACCTGAACGTACAGCACGGAATTGAGCGCGATTAATCAATCCAACACAATTTTATACAGAGTTAGAAACAGTAAGGCAGTGAAGTTCCTAGTCATCAAATGATTCTGGTAACCACAGGAACATACGATAACGTTTTCGTAAGTTGTGCTACTTAGTTGCAAAAAAAAGTGTTGTAGAAAGGTATCACCGAAAATATACCACAAGAGAAAATGTGATTATCGTAGTGCCTTATGTTGTTGAGCAACTATCCACAATGAATCCCAAACCATCCATTAATACTGCCGCTTCCCAGGCTCGTACTCGAGACCTGGATCGAACTGCTCTAGCACGTACACCTGAAATAATGGGCTAGATTAGGATCTAAAATCTAAAACATATGCCTAGATGTTCACTTTTTGTTTACTGCCTGCTATCAATTTTCATTGGAGGATATTATGTGAGATACAACTACAATAATGTTGAGATATCCGCAAAGCTCCGAACCACAGCTCTCTGCAGTGGCGATCGAACACGCTATTCCTATTTTCGGGAGCTAACGCCTTCACCATCATAGCATCCTTCGTTTCAACTTTCTCCCAACTAGCTTTCTATCTGCCACTGCTATCAGGTGGTGAAGGCGTTAGCCCACGGAAAGGACAATAGAGTGTTCGGCCTCTATCGCAAATACCTTCGGTCTTGGGTTTTGCAGATATCTGATCGTCATTCATTGCGGTTACATGCCTAGAATCCTATTATTTTAACCGATTCTATATGTGGATCGCAAACTATCCTATAATAGACTCGAATGCGCATTTTATTCTACTTCACTGACTATTGGAGCTTTCCTTAATGGTATGGCACAATTTCATTGGCACGGCATGAATTGAAATTGATTCACGTAAACCGTGGTGTATTCTTATATCTTTGACGCATATCACTGCAGTAGAAAATTGCAAATATTCATTAAAGACTAACGAAGTGAGGAATACACGCACCACGTATTTTCCACAAAATAACAGGTGCCTTTTATCAGTTCAAACAATTGCATCTATATACCCCTTTAGAATAGGGTATTCAAATAGTTTTTCCTCGCTGATCATATTCCACCACTGTCCAAAAAGATTTTTATAAGAGGACACTTGACACGACATGTAGGAGGTATTATGCTATGGAAAAACAATGTGTCTTTCTTATTCGCCTAACTCCTATTTTCTCAATTCTTGTAATAGAATTTGACGACATATTCCTTATATCGTTGCCACTAGTTTCGCTATGTTGCTTTTGTTGCATTATTTTATTGTTTTCACTAAGATTTAATTAGTCGAGTTTAAGGCACGTCATGTGAAGATAACCATTGCCATAGTGCCACGTAGCTTCCTAATAATCTTGCTCAGAACTAGACATCGTGAATTAATACAATTACTGCGTCTAAATCTACTACAGCAAGTCGACGCTAAAATTTCTCAGTACTCATTCATAGCTTCTCAAGCCTTCGTAGGTAACACCTATGTACTATAGATACTTCAATTAGTCGACATCGCGACATCGAGAGTTTCGAGAGCCGATTGCTACAATTTATACGCAACAAAGATCATTAGACTTACTAGTCATTTACGCACTCATTCACACTATCTAGTTATTCTCTCACGGTACAACTAGAAAAACAACTGTGGTGCAACAGTCACCACAATCATTTCATACATAAGTTGCCATCAAGCCTCATAATGGTTTTGGTAGTAGAAAAAAGCAATTCAGATAGACATGTGCTTCTTATCTTATTTCCAAGCTTACAGTAATTGAAGTGACTTTCTATTCGAAGCGGCTTATGTGTGATATTTCAACAAGCATTTTTGAAGTGGCTCCACAGTCTCATATTGGACAACCTTTATCAGAAGCCAAAGGTCGTTCGTTACGACATCCAATACTACGAACAGCAAACAAGACGCTAAGATAACTTATTCGTTGCACTATTTCAGTACACGGCCAACGTTTTATAGACAATAAGACTGTGCTAAGAGTTTAATGGCTCCCTTCTACGAAACTGACTGAACATTATTTCTTATACCATTTCTTATTCTTTACTATGTGGAGTTCTGCAGAAAAATACTCACATAATCGGAGCTCCTGATTCTAAGTTCTGCAGGCGGATTTGTAATTACATATCGCTTTACGGACTCCGGATTATCCTGGTCGTGCAACCGGTACAGACCGATGCAGAGTTGGCCGTATTTCTTCAATGACGTTGTGAACATTTGACCGTATGTCGAATTGTGCTGAAATGGGACGTAAACGTAATGCAGAAACCAAGCCATTCTACCGAACAGTGTTAAACTGTGTTAAAGTGCACGAGAAAGTGATTCGCCAAAACATGCAGTTTTCCACAATCATTTAGTTATGTAACATATGAAATAGTGCCACGATGAACATAGTAAGTCCATGAACGGCATAGTAACTGTTTAAAGGCATAAGAAATTCCAAACCCCAATTCCTTCGTAAGGATTATCGTGGAGAGCGATCTGAGCGATTCGACAGCGGTCGCGATTCGCCAACGTCTCAGGCGTACTATATCCACCGCGGAGGCCTGCTCCTTCTGCCAGAATTAATTCGAGCTCTGGAGTTGCTCCACCGGTTACAAGCGTTCTAATCAAAGTCAACGCAGAATCGTTGAAATAGGTCTGAAATGACTGATGTAGAGCGTCACATCATAGTAACTGAGGTATCATAAGTCACTGATTAAACTAAGTTTTACAATCAGTTCAAATATATAGTCATAGATTGGAGTTTTCCGCTAGAGTACAACGTCTTCGCGATCATAGCAATGTCGTTAAAGTAGTGACTCACAGTGCTCATCAAGGAATCCAAGACAGAAATAGCGAAAGCAGTGCCACAAGCAAATGGCTGTGTGAGGTACAACTCGGTGTCGGGATCATCGTCGTCATCCTGGTCGAGGAACTGCACGTTCGAATCGTTCACTAAAAAGAGCTAAGCGTAACTGATTGAAGTGCGTTATTTATTGTGATTACTGGACTAAGAAATGTGTAGGTACATCTTTATACTGTTGAACCAGTTTTGTGGCTACAGCTTGCTTGGAATAACAGCAACACTTGTACCATACCTAACTCCGTGATCATGGGCACGTTAGTGCCCAAACGAGCACCCTTTTTCTGCATACTTATTGGGCTGCCCAGTGGACTACGATCACCACCTCGTAGAGGGAAAAATCCCAGTGTGTCGTCGAACTAAAAAGTAGATAAAGGGAAACGTAATTCGGAATAAAATATCGTTAAATTTCAAGCCACGAATTTCGTGTAATAATGAAACTAGTAAGGACGTAGGTTCCTCTTAAATTAAACTATGGTAAGAAACATGAATAACTTTCAAAATCTACGTAGTTGCATTTGATAAGAAAGGGTTTCAACCACTAACCACAGTTTTTTGTTTTGTCCAGTTAATGGTCCAGAATTATCTTTATGCTCAGATAATTGAACATAACGCGGTAATGATGTTTATTAACGCGGGGTATTTTCTCTACTGAGATCGCAATGATTTCTACCCCTTCACGCTTAATTCGGGAAACAGCTATATTTTTCACCCACGGCCAGTCAATGGACCTAGTAAAAAAATAGTTTTTTCAGGTAACAGATTCTACATTGAGATCCCTTCATTTCCAATGCAAAGAAACTGACCTGCATTGCCTTTATGTTCAAAGATGCCAAAATTGCCTCCTTATCGGCTAATGTCGTATCCTCGGTGTTTGGCACTCGAGCTGATATGATTACGCACATATCGCACAGATTGATGTTAACGGCTCTCAAATCTGCTCGAGATAATGGAGAACCCTGAAGTAAATAAAAATAGTTGTTACCGATGGCTGCAATTTAGTCTACTCCTATATCCACGCATAAATGAGTGGGTATACATACGTTTGAATCAGTTGTGATAGCCAGAAATTCAGTAAAGAGGGATTAATCCAATTATTAGTGAGACGAGTGATTTCGACTACAGCCTCAGCTTAATTGGGTTCAATACCGATTTGGGCTCCCCGGATCAATTCCGTTGACGGTCAATTGCCGATGGCACTGGTCGATAAAACCAGCCTTCGAGACAGGCGAAGCGAAAGACACGCATGGTGTGGTGGTGAACACGTTAGCCCCTGGAGATGGTAATAGCGCGCTGCGTTCGTTCCCCATAGCAAACACCTGCAGTCCGAAGTTTTGCAAATATTTCAGCATCATTGCGGTTGTATTAGTGAGATACTTAAATAGTTACAAGGACGAAGAATCATGGATTTTTTCTACATGAGGAATCTCGAGCCACACAGTTGCAATGCTTCTTGGCACGCCCTAAAGGGTCGAGTACGAACCAGATGAGAGTAGAAAAGGGATAAAGCATTCGGCGTTGAGGGATACGCTATGCATTCGACTTCGCTAAGCATTGCAGAGTTGATTAATTGCATATCTGGTTTATACAATGGCTCGCGGTGGCCTACCGCTGTATCAAATAAGTGTTTTTCCCTCACAGATAAATCAGTTTGCCAAGCACGGTGGGACAGGACTGATGAACCAGGAAGTGGGATCGAACAAGCTGCCTGTCCAGTGAGTTTTCCAGGACACCTCTAACAATACTCTAAATAAATTAAACATGTAGTAAACAATACTTAACCTGAAAGATGGATTGATTCAGCACAGGATGAAATACTGTCGACACTACACCCGATTGAACTTGACGTTCCGAATATACGCTATATTAGGTGGATATTTCACCAGCTAGGAGAGCCAAAATGCGAAGTACACTCCTTGCAGCTTTTAATCAAAAATAGGCAAAAAGTTTCACACAAAAATTGTGAATCTTCTTATGTCCTTCGAGTCACTAGAGCAAAACGGACAGCTCATGCTAATGGAATGGGGAACTTTGCACTGCTTGCTACCGGCATTCAATGACTAGCAAGATTAAAAGTGGTAGAGTTATAGTGAATTGTAATGATGAAATATCAGATAATCTCAGTTAAGTGCCTGCAGCCTGTCGTCACTTGACTGACATTACCCACTTCTTTATACCACATGAAAGTAGTCATCGCAAGGTTCATGAAACCACCACTAATGCAAGGGACATAAACGAATGGAGGCAAACGGGACAAAGTGTCGAATTGAATTATACCAGCTAGGGAATTCCAGATTGTCATGCGATGGACGTGCAAATGCTCGCAGCTACATCCACAAATTGCTAACGTAAAAAAATCATCTGCAGGTGGTTCCATGACGTCTCTTCCTTACTGGCACAAATGCTACCACAGCAGAAATCCTAGTAGATTAACAAGAACTCTAAAAAAAATGCCCCAAGAAGACTGCGCTCTGTCTCGTAGATTTTCAAGTAATAATGTCATTACCTAAGAGCAGCGTGATCGACAATAAGCCATGAAGCGTTGAATACTTGTCGAACTTCTTTTTTCTTGGTTAGGTGCCTTGTGACTAGAATACTCGCACGAGGGCAGTGGTTCAAATCGTTCAGTGACTTTTGCAGCTTGTTGTCCGGAACGATCGAAGATGATGTGGGAGGTCGAATCCAAATAAGAGGAAAGAAGTGCTAGATCCTACATAATATTCATCTAAGTAGTCGTTTTCTTGTTCAGCAATCGCGAGGTTTTTAAACAGCATACATTTACTTCCATACAAAAACAATACAATACAACGCTAGCTGACGTTTCGGCAGTATCGCCTTCTTCAGGGCCGCTTTTTCGTGACTCGTCGAGTCGTCAACCACATGCGACTATAATCAGCTGTTCTAAACTTCCTCATTGGAAGTAATTGTTTTTCTATGGAAGTAAATGTATGCTGTTTAAAAACTTCGCGATTGCTGAACAAGAAAACGACACATTCATATTCCAATGCCGAGGTTAATAGAAAGTCGATCCTGGGAACTAAGTAAGTAGTTACAAAGAAGACCAGTTAGGCATCAAATTAGAGCAGATAATATCGAAGAGCAAGAAATGCTTATAGGGGCTTTACACTGAACATAGGATCGTTTATTTATTCCGGCGAAACGGGCTCACCAAGTCATTCTCCCCTCTGGATTCGACAGATTGGTGCCATATTTGCCAGAGATGAGAGTAACACTAAGTTGATCGGCTTCAAAATTCATTGTATGGCCCAACTCTGCCATTTAATCACCTCTACGAGGCTTAATGAAGTCGAATGTATGGCACATTCTCTAGGGATTAAGCAACGCTGTTATCCATTAAGAGATTGAGGTGGCGCTGTTTCTCGGCAAGGTGCAGAAAATTGTCCAGTTCCGAAGTAATGGTTGCCGGCTATTGGAGTATTGAACCAGATAAGCTAGGCGATGCAGCTCCAAGCTGTTTTCCAACAACTCTTTTCGAAAAAATAACAGGATCAATGACTTTACTAAATCAATCAAAACTGGAAAGTTAATGGAGGAAGAAATAGGAAGTTCGCCTCGCTGTAATACTATCAAATATTATTGCAACAGACAAAATCCAACTTCTGTTCAAGAGATTTTACCACTCGCTTCATAGAAAAAAATAAAATAGCAGATTTCGTCATAAGGTATATTTCTGACACCTTTTTAAGATCTAATAGTTAATCAAGGAGCGGATAGCACAGTGGTAGTGATGTCCGCCATCACGAGCATGGTGCTAGTTCTATTCCAGTGCGGGCCAACCAAGCCTCTCATCCCTCCGAGATCGGGAAATTGGTACCGGACTTGTCTGGGAAAATAAATCACTCTCTGCAATACAATTGAGAGTGCTCCAGTCCGGCTATCTCAGGACTCCAAAGAGAATCGATTCGACCAGCATTCTACGGCATTCAAGACGAAGTGAAAATCCTCAACCAGCAGTCGAAGCCACAAGTAAACGTTGGAAGACCTCTGTGGATGATGGATGCGAGGTAACGAATCGAACGTGAGAAATGCTAGGATCCACACAGTAGACTCGAAGACGGTTCATATAAAATGAAATATAGAAAAAATAAAAGTAAAAAAATAGCTGGTCAGTTTTACAGCATCACATTAGAAAAATTTCATTTGCAACCAATTATTAGGTGTATCCAATAATCGAAAACTCGTATCCTCTTCTCTAATGGCACTTGTATTGTCAGAAACTCCCCACCCCTTCGTTGATGATCAAAGGTAAGAAAATAACTGACATTTAGAATGGAGATTTTGGGAAGATTGTAGAGTGTTTTCCATTCTTTGCGTAGATATTCCAAGTCACCAACGATCACCACGTGTTTCAGTTCGTGGTAGTGGAAATTTGAGGCCCTGAAAGACTAAGCTTCTGATTCTATCAAATTCGTTCAAACGCATTCATTACGCTGGTAGACAGGAGCTAGAAAAATTGCGTTATCGTCAAGAAGTAGAATTAGAGAAGCAAAAAATTCGGACAATCAATATTAAGAGCATCGATTAATGATTTCACTGCCTCATCAAACCTTAAAGGCATTATGAAGTTCCTTAAGCCAATCAGTGGTGAATCACGATCAGCGAAAAGGCACACGACAACATGTCCATTCAGCACTGTCATGGCGGCTTGATGACGTTCCTAAAATTATTCCTTTACTTTCGAATCTACTGCTATGACTAGATAGATTGCTCATAACACGCATTTTACTCTTCACCTTTATTTCCATACATCGCCATCTCTTCGTTTTACTACTAAAAACATTTAGATTATAAAAACGGGACTCGTGTAGAACGCTGTAGACGGAGGCACCTTGCGATGAACATTGTGCGGTCTCAGGCTTCCGCGGACTTAAAGGTTTCTGGATCTGCGAACTGGTACCAGACTTGCCCGGGAGGACGATAACTTTGGCTTGATAGTTTGTAGGTCTCCGTATGTTACTGTATAGTCCAAATGTGCATTCATTTACTTCTACGATGCAACGAATGGAGTAGTATGTATAGTAGACAGTAACGAAATGGATCAGCGTCGGATGATTTGTCCTTTTCACTCCTTAACAAAAACTGATGTGGGCAAACACTCAAGAAGGAGTTGGTACTCTAAAAACTTTTGCTATTTATTCCCGAGTTTAGCTCACGTCTGTGTGACGCGGCGCTAAATTAGATCTATCACGAAGAGTTGAGTAACAATCTCTCTTCTTGAGTTTGAACTTTCCAATTTTCAAACGCTTTGGGTTATTAAGTCATTTTTTCTTTCATAAACTCTTCTAGATTAATGAATTTTTATTTCACTTCCGTAGACAATCACAAATGCTTGGTTCAACAATAGGCGCTCACCAATACGCATTCGTCCAAATTCCGCGCAGGGCACCAATGAAACATTCCGGTCGAATCGTATTTCATATCTTGTTGCTCGAAGTCTTTAGTGAAATCAACACCACGCCCATCTGGAGGAATTGACATCGAATTCCTCTTGCCCGACGATGGCCTAAGAAAAAGGTAATCGTTAAGTCTTGCACCGAGTGAGATTTATATTCGTGAAAAAAAGCCAGGGCTACTGGGAATGGCTTGAAAAAGTGGCGCACCTCGCCGCGCGTTTTGGGACAATCTACTGCACTCAGACCAGCAAAAAAGTGAAAAAATAAAAAGATTTCCATTAACACAGGCACACTGCAAAAATATCGCGGTTTTACTGCGACAGATCTTTTTTGTCACTAACAAAGGGATTCAATCATGCTGCTTATAAAGTGGATCCACAAAGGATAACCAGTGTGGTTGACATCTGAAGCTCACGCCATGCAGTTTTAGAGGACAGTGAAGTTGTAGTTGTTTACATGCTACATCTCCGCAAATAGGCACTGTTATTTGAAGAAGAAAGGTTAACGTGAATGTGTTAGAGCTAGGTAGAGAATGCTTTACCAAAAACCGAGACCTATTATAGTGTGAACATCACAAAGGAAAGAAACTCAAAATTCGAACCTTGTCACAGCGTTCTCGTTCAGTAAGCCGTAGAGATTTGGCCATCACGACAAAATTTAACAATTTAAGCAATTACAAGAGAATTCAGAGCGAGTTTATCTTTCAGTGACTAATCGGAGACTCTGCACGTGTGAAACATACATATTGATTGGCAGCTTGTCAAAATCGATACTTTTTTTTTTACTGAACCTTATAGTACATGCACTCTCTGTCGGACTTGTCGTGGCTGAAATGCTTTTTAAGGGGTAGGCATAGGCTTAGGTTTGGGCTGAAGTGTTCGTTGCAAAGTTGTTCGCACTAGTGATTTCTTGTATCTAACGCATTTTTTCCCGCACATCTTCAGGATGATATGTCCTACGTTCTAAAACGGCATCACTACTGCGGTTCAAACTTTCCTCTACAGAAACCCAGGTAAGTAGTGTTCTCCAAGGTTGCACGTGGAATAACGTCAGAATTCCGCAGAGCGAGAGCACATGTAGTAGTTTTTTACCACAATTCACGCGCGACAGCTATAAACGCTACTCTAAACGAAAATCGGGCACGACGACGTGGTGAGAACGCAACACTGTGACATGGGAGCGCAAACCATGGCATGATATCGATTAGATTAAGGTATTCACATGAGTTTCTTGACCTCGTATGCAAATCGCATCGATTTCGTCGTTAGATGATTATCACTGTTCGAGCTGAAAGGACAGTGTTAAGAGTAAGTGGAAAACAGTTCCAGTTAGAAGACAACAACAATGGACGACACGACGCTTCACTAGTGGTGATTTTCTGGAACCGAATCGACACTGTTTAATTGGCGCCATGTCGTTCAGTTATGATGTCTTGCGAAAAAATAGAAGAAACAAACAACACAGCTAACTAAATGAGAAGCGACATTCGATTTTAATCGAGTTTATTGGGAATCGACATAAATTCGCTGTCGGGTGAAAACCCAGCAAACCTCCTTCCAGCTCGGCCTACCTTTGCTCATTTAACAGCCGTAGTTGAACATGCGATTCATTCTGAGACACAGTAGACTGCTCGACATGTCGCGGATACACTGGAACTTGGGCATTTTTTTGTCTTGTAGCTCTACTAATTGCACAACAGGGGCGAGCAACACTCAGAAAATTCTTATGGTATAATCTTTTTAGGAAGAATAAGACATGAAAATCTCATGCAGCTTCGGAATGCACTTTACGGCCAGTTTCAAAAATTACGCAGCCATTGTTGAGAATGGTTTGATTCTGGAACCAGTGGAACCATCACTAACTAAAGTAATGAAGGGAGAAGTCAACTGAAATTCAAGGAGGGCCAATGGAACTAGCTGCATGTTATTTTTCGCGCATTACTTGATTAGGGCTAGAAGTAAAAATGGGAGAATAGGGAACGAGCTGCTCAAAATCCATGATAAACCCAATACTTCCGCAATGTCAATAAATGCTGTCCGAAGGGAGAGGCAACCTCTCCTGTTTCTTATTTTCAGAACATTGAAATTAACTCTTGCTTCAAATTTAGTTTGTCGTAATATTGAATTTTCACTTGTCAATGAACATAAGTAACAACCATGAGTTTCTATTTTTGGAGAAGACACACACTGGAAGTTTTTTTTTCTTTCATGATCGAATCAAACTTGAGCAAACTGATATTTAACTGCTTTAACTTTTAACTTTTACATGCCTATTCTTCTTTCATGGCAGGATACGACCTTAAACACGACAACAAAGGAGCTAAGATATGAACAAAACTCCAGAATCATGTGCGTTTCGAACCCACAACTACCCTTTTCATGGGCTCACTTGTCACCCACTGCACTACCGAGGCCCCTGTTTTGCTTTCTCTTGGCCAACCTTTTATCCTATCGATAATATCAGCAAAGGCAAGTAAAAGGAAATGACCTGAAATGTATATTTTATATCGTACCGTCCTATGAAAAAAGAATCGACAGTTAATAGAAGTAAAAGCCTTTTAGTTTCGACGGCAGTTTTTTAACTAGGTCCAGCGCCAATTTATGCTCGGCAGATCGTTTCCGTTGATGGATGATTGTTGGCAGCAACGACAGAGTAAAAACATTGCTCATGGATCACCCTCTACGGTCAGAAAATCAGTTCCAAAGTTCTGTGCGAAAACCTCCTTTGGACCCTAGACTCGCAAAGGCCTTTGACTGTTGGTGAAGAGCGTCTAGGAAGGCTTCCACTGAACACTAAGAGAAAGGCAAAACAAGGGCCTCGGCAGTGCAGTGAACACGTGAACCCATGGAAAGGGTAAGCGCAGAGTACGAAGCACAACTGAGGTTCTGAAATTTTGCTTATATCTTAGCCTCTTTGTGGTTGATATTCCCCCAACATCTGTACAGCAATGCCATCTATAACAGGATGTTTACTGCTCAAACTGCATTTGTGAGGAGAAATTCACGGACCTGTGGAATACAGAGCATCGAGAACTGCTTATCAAACCACATGCACATGACAAATGGAGTTAGGGCTTGAAGGGATACCACACCGACAATCGAGCGGGGAACTGCATTCGAATCCTTGTCTGTTGTCGTGCATGGATAGGTGTGTCGAAATGAATCCGCAATAAACGAATAAATTTGATAGGAAGTAGGGATGTAATTTATCCTATTCAGATGAAAGAGCAAACGGAGGATACGTGTTTCGCACTGGTTGAAAGGTTTAAAAACAAAGGTCACTCTGTAGTCACTTTATTTATTGCCTATTCTTTTCTCATGACAGGATATGATGTGAAATATAACTAACCATAATAATGCTAAGATATCTGCAAAACTCTGGACCCGCAGATGTCTGAGGTGGCGATCGAACCCGGTATTACCCTATTACCCTATTGCCCTTTTAAAAGGCACTCTGTTAGTAATTCTTAGAAATTTTTCCTTGACAGAAATTTTCGTTGATGAAATGACTTAGCGTTAACTTCGTTCCCATCCTCTAAACAAGTGTTTATGGAAACTATGAAATTTAAAGTCAGCTGTGGTCACAGCTGCCACGTTTTTTTCCCTCTAGGCACATTTGATACTGTAGTGGTTATTTCAAAAGCCATTGCTTCTAAGCAACAACGATTGGAAGTGCCGAAAATGCCCTCTATTTTTTCTAAAATATTTTTTCTATATGCTACTTTGTAGTTCGTTTACGGTGACTGTAGCCAATGGCTCTTTGTATCTGTGATGCATAGAAGGAAATTACTTAGATGACGTGCCCTGGACAAATTAAACCCATCATCCTAGCAAGGCCAAGAAATTGGTATTAGATTGGTCTACAGGAAAAAACACTGATTTAATGCATAGGTAAGCAAATCACTGCAAAACCCAAATATGTACTCGCTAATCTCTACTATGTATAGTGGAATTTAAGGTCCGACATACTTCTGAGGCAATGATCGAATCCGAACCCTTTTTTATACCCTATACTTCCTCTCATCCCTCTCAATAATAGGCTGTCTAGGTTTTAACTGAGTTAATGAGCAAGTTTTCTAGTTTATCAATTGTAAGTTTCCTTCTGACTGATCCTAGACGATATTAGGCAATACAATCGCTCCTAGTGCCCTTCTTTCAGTACTGAACGGTGATATGCAGACATAGATATACAAACAGGAGTTCAGAGTGAAAGATGAGGATCGTCTAGCTAATCATCCACTAAGTTACACTCAGAATCAGAAATGATTTACCGTCGTTCTGGTTGAACAACGCGTCAAACCCTGAGTAGTCCGAAACGGAGACCACCAGTTAATCAGTGATTTGACAGAAGTCGACATTTGTTTAGAAAAAGCAGCGAAGACTTACCGTGTGCTGTGCTGTGCTTGGTACTCCGTCGAAAGAGAGCCACTGAAAAAATATTTTCTTAGATTCCTGGTCCCTTAAGTCTTTTCAAAACCACACATGCACTTAATCAGATGGCAGATAGAGATACAGAGTAGAAGTAGAAGAATAACGTAGAAAAAAAGCAAAAGATAAATTTCTGAACATCATAAGAACTTATAAATTTATAAGAGATAACTATCACAGATGTATTATGCGCAAGCATGAAGTTTGAATGGATAATGAACTAGTTCCGTTTGGAGTTGAACTCAATTATTTTTGGGTTACGTTGTCCAATGTTCTTAGTGTTTTACTAAAAAAATACCGGGAACTGGGCAAAATCTCGGCTTGGAGTCACAGTGCATGATGGTGTTCTATTAGCGAGCTTTTCTAATCTTCGAGCTCTCCCTCCCAAAACAAAACCGTACTCAATCGTTCCCCTGGTGTTGATGATGGACTCGCCTGACGATGAATGGACGAGCCGTGGAACTGCGAATCGATGACCCCTTTGTGAACAATTCATCATGCAGGACAAAAACAACGGCCACCGAAAAATTTAAGGATTTGGAGTAAACATGTATCTATCACCAATTCATTTAATATTCTTACATAAAAACCCACAGTTCTTGCATTTGCACTTTTTGATGAGCGAAACATCCCGAATGTCTTCGTGACACTGCTTGCACCAGAAGAAAGCTCTGAATATCCCAGTCACGGTGAATCGTTTAGTACGTTTATGCTACGTTATTCTTTTAAAGCATGACACAGTTCAAAATTCCATGGAGTTAGAATATCCAAATAGTTTTCTTGTACGTCTTTTCGTATTCTTGTTTTTGTTAATATTTCTCAATAGCATATTTCTTTTGAAGTGGCTCTGGACTACATACGGAGACTTTCTAAATTACTGGTTGCTGACATTCGAAATTAAGGAGACACATCACATCGCTGTGGAATACAAACTGTCCTTGTTTTGTCTTTCTACAATGGATTAAGCTCTGTACAAGCACTAAGGATCACCTCAACGAGAATTGTTCCCTTACTCAGCGTGAATTATTGTAATTGCCACTTTGGCACCTATTTCTACTTAAAAAGCTTGCCTCAAAAGTATTTTGGGGCCACTGACCGCTTCACTTCGTCGGCACTTTGAGCAATGAAAAAGCCCTGGGTTTGTGGTTGAATCACGCATGAAGGCCCGGGGTTGATGGCGATATCACATTCTTTGTTCTCTTCATCTTTTAACTCGATAGCCAATAAAAGAAGTCCAAGTCGGGTAAAGAGCAGGCTGAAAAAATGAGAAACTATTTGGTAGGACAAGTAGAATGGAAAAAGTACATTGACCTAAAATGTTAGAAATGTTTAGAAAGACAGGTTACGGGGTTAGAAAAACGCTCTAGCTGTAGTTAGGGCTTTGCACACGCTCGACTTGCTTACTCGGCCGCTTCAGGAAATGTCATTCCGACGAACGATTGTGATAGTGTGTCGGTATACATTTCCATACCTGCGCCACAAAGGTAGAGATTCAGCCAGTCCGGAGTGTCTCGCGACTAAAACATGATCCTCAAAAAAATGAATTGGCGAGTGAACGGGCTATTACGCGGTATTTACGAAGGAATAACAGCCTTTTTTCCAGCACAAGATCACTCATATATTTAATATTGTATTACATAGTAAGGGGTTTTAAAGATTTATGGAAAAACCAAACAAAGAACGTTTCGAACTTCGGATTTCAACAGTGAATGATCAAAACGAAAACCGGAGGTAGCAGAAGCTAGCTCATTCAAATGCGAATCTTTGGAACAGCTAAAATTTACAATTGAAACAGAATCATGCTTGGGATACTTTGAACTCAAAAGTTCAATGATAAGCTTTCGCTTGTTCTCGAAAAGCCAGAAATCAACATTCGCAGATGGGAAAGTATGTTTAAAAAGGTGCGGAACGATATCTGTAATTGGATCCATTGATATTCAAAGCTACTCTTACGTTAGTTGGAGTGAATTTGAAAAAGAATGTCGACATTCAAGAAGCACCATTCGGAATCTGTACTTCCAACCATCACGAAATGAATAACTAAGATGCTAATAGCTTAATTTCTTCTTATCACGATAAGGTTCTACACAGCTCGCTCTGTTGGAGAAACACAACAGGCACCGTGGTTTGCTTTCCTTTGTTCTTCTGGCTGACAGCGCGGAAGTCGGTAGTTGCCTTCAACATCACAACGTGTTTGGTCTGGTTAATTAGAAGTCCTAGTTATAGTCTCTGCAGACATTTCTTTGACTATTCGTCGTAAAAGTGTCTTTGTACTCAGATTCCGTCCATTCATCTTTAAGCGATTAGTTTGAAGAATCATATTGTGGATAATCATTCTTTTGGACGTTTCCTCAATTATAAGTGGTGTTATCCATGTGGTATACAGCTGAATCCCTGTCATCTTTCTTTTCTTCAGAGATGGAGCAGATGTTCAGAAAATGATCCTTTTTTTCTAGTCCAAGTGTTTTTACTCTGAGCTATAAAACTTTTTTGAATAGTAACATTCTTGACCATATTCGTGTTAATAAAGAGTTCAACCACGTAAATAAATTTGCTTTGACAAAATCAAAGAACGACCGCCTCTTACTCTTCAACGATAGATCTAACCAATTATTCGTCTTGCTTAGCAACAATGACGCCATAAGAAGCCCCCATTTCCACTAGTATATCCTTACTTATAAAACTTACACTTTTGTTTTACCTTTTATTTTCTGCCTACTACAATCTTCACAGCAGGATACTAAGCGAAATACAACCACAATGTTGCTGAGATATTTGCAAAACTCTGGACCGCAGGTATCTATGGTGAGGAACGAACGCGCTAATATCCTTTCCGGAGAGTAACGCGTTCACCACACCATGCGGGTTCTTCGTTTCGCCTGTCTCTCAGCTAGTTCTATGCACTTCTTGCTTTTCACGGTTCGTTTTGATTCTGGAGTGTTAGCTACTTCAACAAACCCGTTGCCTACACCGTAGACAGGAGGTTTCATCTATTCTTAAGTGGTTGAAGCTTTTCTATTACTGCGAGAAAATTCTCATACGTATTTCGTAGTGATACGCTGCGAAAATGTACTTTCTAAGGTTTTTCATCTTCTTTTTCAAACTTTAGAAACTGAGGTTTCTGTCGAATTGAAGACGAAGGACATAGAAAACACCAATAATCCCTTTTCCTACTTCATAGGGGATGAAATTTCTACAAGCTATACACTACTACTACTACACTATTATAAGGGAAAGAAGCGGTTTCTTGTAGCAAGTAAAGCGTAAAGTGTGCATCCAAAGAACAGTGGAACACGTAAAAAAACTGAAAATATGAACTGGTCGAGCTTCCACCCAGCAAACCGCTCTTCAGATAGATTATTTCCTTACAAAGATGAAACAATGGCCCCTCTTTCTAGAACAACATCTGCATGAATGAAGCCACGACAATGACACACAGCTCCATTAAGGTGTGGGTGAGCATCTATTTGTGTTAGAAAACATCGAACCAGTGAAACTCACTCCGCGGCTTCCGGAAATGACATTCCAACAAAGGCATGCGACAATTTTTCGGTGTACATCTCCATGCCTGCACCCCGAAGGTAGTCGTTCAGCCAAGGTGGTGTGTGCGGCGACTGAAATTCGTTAGGCGGTTAGTATATTTATTAGATCACACTCACACTGGGCCAAAAACGGATTATCGAAATGTAAGTCTACTGTATTAGGACAGTGGACGGAACAACACGGGGTAACGCACAAAGTAGAGCTAGACGTAATCTGTGAAGAAAACTTCATAAACCTTTCCTTTTAATTCGGGCTTTCTAACTTGGACAGACCATGACAGGCCTTAAAAAGTAGTTCTTTGCAAGGTTCTTTCTAACTCATAGCCCAGTATTTAAAAGTGTGAAGTAAATGTGGAATAATAATTAGTTCAAAGTATGAAGTTCAAAATTACGTCAAATTCAATACTTTTGTTCTCCCTAAAAAATTCCTTTATCGATCTCTTAAAATGGAATTTTATAACTCTAGAATTTAGTTAAGACTACTTACGACAATATTTCAATTGTTCGTAATCGATTCGCTATGGAAGACTTAATTTTCAGCCCGATGACGTTGAATTTAAATAAATAGAAGTTCGACCTTTTATTCTTTTCCTGGTTTCACTAGTGCTCTCTAGGGTTATCGTGCCAATAATTTGGGTAACGTGCAATATATATGTATTGATCGTCCATCGCAAATTGTGGACAATTGAGATAAACGAAGTTAGCAGACTGGAACTTCGGAAACTGTGGCTCAAAATTGTCTCCATTAACTGCCACGACCGACTTTTTATTAACCTCGGCATTGATCAAGTAATTTTCTTCGTATTTTTGTTGAGCAAACGCGAGGTGTTATTATTGTCTCCATTAAGCTTTTGGCACTGTTTGGCATTTAGCTGGTGCTCTCAAAATCTTGTTGATTCGTTACAGCATAGACTTGGCCAAACAACTAAGTTTTTGTCAAGCATTATTTCGTATTATGTTTTCACATTGCCCAAAAATGTATGTTTCAAGGAGAAACACAAAAATACATGGTAATTTGGCTCTGAACGTCGGTAGATCCCCCTCCCCCTCATAACTCATAATTACCTCAGAACCTAGGAAAACCGACTTTTCGCGTTTCAAATAACAATGATCTGCAAAACAAAGTATTTCCATATATTCCAACTGCATTTGCACTAGTTGACAGCTCTCCTTCCCTCTTTCGGCACATGGAAGAGAACATGTCAAGATGCTTAAGCAATTAGAAATAATGGCCGGAACAGAACAGGTGCCAAAACAAGGCTACATAGAGGAGGCGCACTGGTGGTTGCCAGAGCAGACATCAGTAGAAATAAATGAAAGATGAAAGGTGAATTAAGCAAAAAAAAAACGTTAGTATGGAGAAAAAAAGGAAGATGGCAACAAACCGTTTTGAACGACCTCATCGCGAACAAATTCGCCATCATCGTGGAAAAGCCTGGTGCGAGACAGGATTGTGCGATAAAGCCGAGTTTCAGCTCAGCCAAGCAAATCACGTCATCACCCCGTCGCCAGTCCCACGATGGAATATTTAATAAGTAAGCCTATAATCGTTTCCGATTAAAGTGTCATTTAGTATTAGACGTAAAACATTCATTTCTATTTCATATTCTAATTGGATTCAGAAGTTTGCAAATTTTAAACTTTTAAAGTTTGTTAGTTTAGTCAATAAGAAGCTTACACAGTGATTCCGACTACACTCTCAGCTTAAATGGGTTCATTGCCGTTTTGTGCTCTCCAATACCGTTGACGGGTAACTACTGATGACGCTGGTAGATAGAAAAGTAGCTGAGAGACACGCGAAACGAAGGACCCTTATGGTGTGGTGGTGAATACATTAGCCCCCGTAAAGGGTAATAGCGTGTTCGATCCCCACCACAGACACCTGCTTCCGAAGTTTTGCAAATATCTCAGCATCATTGTGGTTGTATTTCACATAATAACTTGCCATGAAAAATTGTACTAGGCAGTAAATAAACAGCCAACACTTAGAAGTTTGTGTCAGCACTCAATAAGTAGCATCTTTGACATGGATCTCTATTCGCTTGCTATGCATGTATACATTATAATTATAATATTCCAAATCACTTAGATCTTTACGATTTAAGCAGAACTATGCGTAGCAGAACTTAGCAAAAGAAGAAGAAGAACTTTTAGAAGATGAAGAAGAAGCAGAACTTAACAGAATTTCCCCCCTCATTGATCATTTGCAGGTTGAGCATGATTCTCTTTATCTGGAGTTTTGGAACCCGTGCTGGGTCACTCCGATTGTGATCACTTGTTAGTTAGTAACTATCCTGTCTCCAATACGCCATTGGTTTCTTGCATTGCTTTACTCTTAACTGAACATCAGGATAGAAATATAAAACTCTTTATCAGGTTGGGAGAGGTTGATAGACCTCTCACTGATCAATCTACATCGAAGATCAACAATTGAAAACACCCCAAGGTACGAGTAAGCGGTCGCAGAGATTTCATCATTCCGATAAGATCATCATAAAGGGTTATTGTAATAACGATCAACGATTTTGTTTTTGTGTAAAACCACCTAACGAATTAATAATGGTAAAACTATAACGGCAAAACATCGATAATCTGCGAAGGAATAGCAGCATAGGTTAAGAAATGACCGTTCAAAATGGTAGGAAAGAAGTTTATGTTATCATAAAATCTAGCACTAACGGAGTTACTCACCTTATTGTGATATTGCATCAACTGTACAATTACTCGAATATCACTTGAGTAGTTTTTAATAGAAATCACCCGCATAATGTTAGCTGCATCCTCCGCATCAGGATTCGTACTGTACTTGTTCGCTAACACCAAACAAGCATCCGCATCAGAGACCTAAGATTGTTCATCAGTAGATATCGCATATGCACATAAATGTATAAGTGTAAATGGAAATAAGTCAGCAAAAGATGTATGTGGTTAAAAGAATCAAGGATAAAAGGCTCCGCGTTGATCAATCCTCGAAGGATAGGACGTGCATCCAATTTCGCGAAGCTTGATAAAAGTGGATGGATGCACATCTGGCCTATATATCGCCTTCTAGAGACCGAACGATGAATTAAGCAAGTTTTTTATCCTCGCGGAGGAGTCTCTTACCAATTTCCGAACTAAAAAATGATAAAGGTTTGGTGAACCTATGGTAGTCGAACTCTGATGGAACTCGACACCAAAATAATATTTATTAGAGGACACTGCTAACTACAGTGTTACATCCTCCCCTTGTTGCGCGAAATCTTCATCTAGTATCTATAAACGTTCTACAAAAAGTAGGATACTGATCAACAATTGTTTAAATACTGTGATAAAAGGATAAATTGTAACACGCTTGGGTCATCATACTGTGTTTCACCAAAGAACTGCAAAAACTCTAAACAAATGCATTAAGTCTAGAGAGTGTGATGAACGCAAGTGTAGAACAGTTACCTTGACCCGCGACAAGTCCAGAGAGTCCATTACGGTGCCGGTGAAGAACTCCACTTTAGTGAAGTGCCGCTTGAACAGACCCTCCAGCTCGAGATCTGGTACTACCCTAAAAGAATAAGCAACTCCCTATAAATAATACTTGTAATCTATAGTAACAGTAATAAATAACACACTGTGAACAAGTGATGGATACGTTTTCCTTCGTTTATAAACTACTAACACATTCGCGGCGACGCCTAATTTTTACGAGAGCCGTATGGGAACACCGACAATTCACCCGCCGTGATGGGTGGGAACTGAAGCCAACACACTCGGTCCATTGTTCCAGTTCCTTATCTCCAAAAAAAAACATTAAGTAGAACAAGAAAGGAAGGCACTCATCATTAACCTTGTGTGAGGGCAAACCAACTCATCCAATAGCAGATTTTTGTGGATTGTAATATGCAGAGAATTGTATTCTTGACCGACCCGCAATGCAACATTAGTGCTAGGAAAGCTATCAAAAAGTACAGTAAAGGATTCAGCACGATAAAAGAAAGAGCCGAAAAGTGAATCGCTGGTATCAGCTCGCATTGTCTGTTTTGCGTTTCCAACGCATTTGTGAGCGTGTAGCGCTGTGGCTAGAGGTCCCAGGCAACATCCCTGCTCCATGGACTCGCTAAACCTTCCTTCGCTACACGGTTAGTAATTTGGTGGAAGACTTGTTTAGAAGGCTAAAAATATTTGCTCGATACATTGGTAGGCCAAGAGAATTCATTGTACAAGCCAGATAAGCTTTCAGTCACATGTTAACAATGCTTCATGGTGTCGGATGTTTGACGCATCTCTTAGAGATTGATCAACGCCGCGAGCCTTGTCATTTACCACTATTTTATTCCCAGACGTAAGTATTGAGAATTACAGAAATGTTAATAAATTTTACGATTATTTTGAACAATGAACATGAACGTTAGAATACGTTTTTAACATTTCAGCTTACTTGGAGTCTTGCAATATCCTACTAAAACATCGATTTTTCGGTCAAATATTTCCGGTCCCTACACAAAGTTACATACTGATTTAGCGACCTAATAGAATTCCATGATGTAAAACAACAATTACAGAGCATCGCTGTCGACCCTCATTAGTGCCAAATCATTTCAAATGTGTGGATAAGTTGATGCACAAGTTACACTGAATTTTGAGCCGTTACACATCTATAATGTAATCTTATATTGCTAAAAAAACGGCGTTCTTTCCAAATAGACTAGATCAAGTTATGGTGTGATTTTACCCGGTATAAAGCACTTTCAATGATTTTAAGTAGAAGTTCTTTCTACTATAACATCGTCAGGAGACCCATTCATTTTCGAAGCGGGCTCGAGAACAATTGAATATGCAAAAAATAACTAACATGGAAAGCACATTTTTTGCCTCACTAAATTGTTGATTCTCATGAACGCCATTCGAGGGTGGTCCGAGAATTGGGACTGAATTGGCTCGTGAACAATTAGCGTGCCGATTGAAACATACATAATAAAAGCACCCTCATAAATAAAAAAACAAATCCTGCAGGCAGCTACTGAACTAAAGTAAAAAACCTAGTACTTCAAAGGGAAATACTGCAGATTGGACTAGTACTTTCGCTGAAGACGAGAACAACGTTATCAATACGTAATCTCCCTTCCTGATTAATTCGCCAAAGTTAATCCATGTGTTACAGTATTTATATTCAAACGAAGTTTTAGCCAGACATAGATATTTTGCAGCGCCAAACTATTCTCCACATTTAATGGACTACGAGAAACCAATTTATCGAACGAGTTTTTCAGTGAAAACCAGGTGAGGCGAAAAATTAAGGGCAGTCAGATATGCGTCGAGTGAAAATTATATGAGGTTTTCATAGAAGCTGTAACGACTAAAGCGTCGCAATACATTAATTCTAAATAAAGTTTTTCTATGTTGATAAATACTGGTCATATCCGTTAAAGTTTGTAATTATTGTATCGCTCGGATTCAAGGTTCTGCGGTGGATAAAACTAGCAGCAAAGGAACAAACGGTCAGTATGAAAAAATTTTTTTATGAAAAAAATTTTTTATTTTCTAAATAAAGTGTTTTATTTTTTATCTATCATCTTATTACGATTTCGTCCAGGTACAGTATAGAGAGAGTGGAAAGCAATCTCACTAGAAAGAAAATTATTTGGTATAGAGCTTTCAGAATTAAGATATTCGCACAGGAGTTCTATGCCTGTCGTTGGGTTTAGTAAAAAAAAACTGCGCCTGTTAATTTGAAAATGTTAGTTAAAAATTAGAAAAAATTATCCAGAAAACTAGCCGAGAGATAGGCTAAGCGAAAGACTCGCATTGTGTGGTGGTGAAAGCGTTACACCCCGGAAAGAACAATAGCGCGTTCGTTCCCCACCGCAGACACCTGCGGCCCAGAGTTTTGCAAATATCTCGACAACGTTGTGCTTAGTGAGAGAATTAAATTCGAACTGTCTTTCGAAGCGACAAAGGTCTTTTTTCAATTCAATTAATGGAAACCACTTATGTGATGGTGACAGCGACCTCTATACTGGACTTTAGGAAAGCAATGAAGACGTGCACCTTAATAAAGTGAGTGTTTAATTAAACATATTCATTTAAAGCTCTATGATACGAAAAACGAAAAAAATCGGTGACTTTAAAAAATGGTGCAGAACTATTTAAGTAAGTTCTAGTGCACTATAAAACAGCGCGAAGTATGAGGAGAAAAGTCTTAACCAACCTATGAAGGAAGACAACTTCGACGTCGACATCGTCGCGGTCTTCGTGTAGGAAATCCTGGAGGAAATGACTGACCGAGTCATAAGTGATGTGACCGCACACAACAATGTGCCTGGAACGGCTTCATCTAGGAAACCCTAGGAGACATCTAGGAGATATGAACCAAAATCCCTGCTGATTCAATCGTATGTACACTCAAGATGAAAAGTGCAGTGTGTAACCATACTGGGACAGTTTGACTGTTTGAAGAAGTTATCAGTTATATGAAACTTTGAGATTAAACTTCAATTACGCTGCAAAATTATGTGCACTAAAGAATACACACAAAAAAGACTGCTAAAGAGACAAATGGCGCTAACTGATTCTGCTAAAGGAAAACAAATACTCACTTCTTGCCGTGTTCGCCCTTGTATTCTCCACCATACTTTTGTCGATTTCCAATTAAATCAGCGATTTCTGGTACATAGCTGGCGAACATAGCCTAAGATGTACTACAGCTAAATTTACTAGAAGTCACGACACATTGATTCTTAAAATTCCGCCTTTGTCCATGAATCGCTTCAAACGCAATAGTGTAAAACACTGACAACTACAGTATCTCTTACAACTTCAAAAAATTGTCTATCATCCACATTATCCGTATCATTGATAATCCGTTCAATCACCGAATTACTCGATCGTGCACAACTGAGTTCCCAAATCGTCCCTCTAGTAGGGCAGAGTTCCCATTACACCCCCTTCTCTCCCTACCAGCACCATCTCAATTTACATTTCCTTCCTTTTCCGTTCTCCACAACGATGCGGATGGGGTAGTTAGCCTTGGCCTTTTGTACGATTTCACTGCGTTTGTTAATCGACCGTTTTTGTCCGGTCTCGCATTAGATATGGGACTTACTTGACCGCTAAACGTCTCCGTTGCATTACTCAGTTAAATGAGTAGTGAGTTTATAGATTTTCAGGACACAATTTACTTACATACACTTGAACCCATGGTTGATTATGAATGAATATAGCACCGTTTACAAAGAAAGTGTGTCACCGAGGTGCAGCATACTGAAGGATCGAAGCCTAAATCCTCTCGAAAAGGTATTCAGGGAAAATACTTCATTTCTCATGTTTGATATTTACTATTCAAGCAAGTAAGTAATCTCTGATACCCATTAAAAATTTTGTTCGAAAGTATTTCGTTAATTTTTATGAAACTTCGTTGGAAGTTCATATCTATAAGGACCACGTAGTTTTTTCTAACTACGCAGTCAATAGAGAAAGAAAGCGAAACTTACAAGACCGCCGAGAATAAAGAACACCATGAAAATGCGGCCGCACAACGTCGTACAGTATATGTCACCGTAACCTGCGATTGAAATGTGATAGTTTCTAGTTGTCGCTTTCCGTTGATCAGAAACAAGAAACAGCGGAAGATAGCACAAAAATCAAAATGAAAGTTTCGTCCTGTTTGATGAAAATCCGTTAGAAAATTTTCTTACCCACTGTTGACATTGTAACGAGCACAAAGTATACGCAATCCGCATAGGTGATTCGATGCGGATTGATGAAACCCTTGAAGAAATCGCCCGAGTTCTCGAACTATAAGTGAATAACTGAACAAGAAAAATCAGCGGTCGTTTTTGAGGCGAGAATTTCTTCAGAACATCGCAAGAACCAGGTTTAATAGTTCGAGATCGTTTTCGAGCGGAATAATGAGTTCAAAAGGTTTCGAGAGAAATCCGGCATCCCAACTTGTTCTTCCGATCCACTGGCTACCCATGCTATGAAAAAAGCAAACCAATAACATATACGTGAAGTTTTCATTAAATTAGTCCTTTAAAGCCTGGAAGTTCATGAAGAAAACTAATAACTGTAGCAATTGACTACGCAGAAAGGATGAAGAAAGGCTTCATTGATTCATTTTTTTTCCTCAAACAGTAATGATATAGTTGCATGAAGAGAGCTCAGTAGACTTCTCCTTTCTAAGAGTTAAGTATGCACCGTCAGCTTCGTTATCTTTGTTGGTCTCAACATTCCCAAACATTTTTCGAGATATTCCAATGAAAAGCGTCAACATTTTTGTTGGCAATCAGCTTTTATTCCGATGTTCGGGAATACCCACACATTCGAAACAAAACAAAAACGAAATGGAATGTAGGTCGGAGTGTTTCGACTTTCCCTATGTTCTTCTACTGCTTGCAATTAAACTCTCAGGAAAAATATTTCGTTGCTCAAAGGATCCTTTGATTTTAACATTCCACTGTTTGTTCTCAAGCCTATGACATTAAAATTTATAACTCACCAAGTGCACGCCACCGGCACCCGTAAGACAGACGGATACGAAAATAGTTACAAGTTGAGTGAGTCGAATCGAAGACGAGGTCTTTAGAATATTGAGGTATTGCAAAATATCTGGTACGGTCATCAAACGCAAGGCGCGAAGAAAACGAAAGCCTAGTAGAAACTGTTTAAAAAATGAACGGGAAAATAAATAACATTGTTTAACTCTACTTCTTGGCTTAGGCTTATTTCAGTTGGTGTGGGTAGTTAAATCTTGCTTATGTCCTCGTCCACTTTTTCAAAGAAGACCCAAAACAAATGTGGAAGACAGAAATCAATCAATTCGAATGAGCACTCGCACGGAAATTTTAAATAACCATGTTCGAGTGAAGTGAAAAGTTTTTAACTCTTTTGTTTACTGCCTTTTTTCTTCTTAATGGCAGGTTATGTTGCGAAATATAACTCGTATGAAATGCTGAGATATTTGCAAAACTCCGGACCACAGGTGTATGCAGTGGAGAACGAACACGCGCTGTTGTCCTTACCGGGGAGCAGCGCACTTCACCACTACACCATCCGGGTCCTTCGCTTTGCGTATATCTCAGCTACTGAAAAGTTTTTATTTCCTTAACTGAGCTTTGACGGGTTCAACGCAGTGTTGGATTGTCGCCTTATTGTGGGTATATCTATTCAACCTGTATACCTACCTTCAGGGTTCAGCGGCACGTTCAGTTCCTAGCGAGGATGCCAATACTGAAGTACCGATGTGTAAGGTAGCTCAACTAGGAATAAGCTTATGCTACGGAAGAGCCAGGTAAGGCACATCTGACAACCTCATTATCAATAATAGCAAGAAAAACGAGCCCTATACAAAAAGAGCAATGTTGTTCATGTCTCTTGAGCAAGGGAGTTAGGACTTCCGTTCGCTTAATTTACTCCACGATACACCATTTCAAATAGCATGGAGATATTGTACTTGGATAGAAAATATAGAAAAAAACAAAAAAGGGTAAACACGTGACCAAAGTGGGACCTACCTAACCAGTTTCTTTGTAAATAAATAGCAACAAAACTGGGTGGTATGGTACAGTAGTCGATAAACGAGTACAACTCCAGAAGGAACCATACTTTATCGGAGGCAGCAATGAACTAAATAGGAGCTGTATGACAATAAATGGAGAAAGAAAAAAAACAAGAAGGATTGCATCAAGTGCAATATTATACTCTTAGCGGTTTTTCATAGTTAATCAATCAACGCTTAAGCACTTCCACTGAAACGGGTATTAGGTCGCAAAAAGTAGAAACTTTATGGTCCACTGAAACTTTCAGGTTGTTTCCTTAACAAAATGTGTGGAGGTAGAAATACGCCGTTAAGTGGTAGTTCTTCTATTCATTTCATCGTTATGTATTTGAGTGTCTACAAGATCTGTGCTGAAGCCTACATAGTCTTCCTTATATGTAAGGCCAGGTAGGTGAACTATTGACCGGATTCTAAGCCCACAAACGCATGAGCCCTCTCGTGAATCGTGAACACAAAAAACGCTTACGGTCGGTCCCCTCTTTTTAAATGTAGAAACCAATAATGATCGTAAAAATGCAAAATTATCCTATCAATTCTGCATGATCATAAACTTACTCTAATAAAAAAATACACAAGAAAGAAGATGTTGAATCCAAGATCGATCTGCTGCGACGGACTCTCCTGCCACGGTATGCATGTCTCCACTTGAAAGTTCTGACTGAAAATGATTAGAACCTCAATTTTACTAAAATACTTAGAGCAACTGATATAACGAGAGTTAAACTTGAGTGGTCGAGACAATAAGTAAGAGGAAGTACTTCTTAAAAAAAGCAACTTTATTTGGTCCGCACTCCATAAATGCTGAGTTTTAAGGCTAAAGGATAAAGCTTTCGGCACTGATCAATCCAAGAGGGATACGCCATGCATTCGACTTCATTAAGCATTGTTGGAGGTGATTGAATGCATATCTGCACTTCACAATGACCCACGGTAGCCTACCGATGTATCGAACTAGCGCTGCTATCTTCCCGGACAAGTATGGTACCAATTTACTGGGATCGATGCCATGTGTGTGCTAGAAGGCGCCTCCGACCACTGCGCCACACATGACCCACACGCTGAGTTTCATAGTGTTAAAAATTTTTAATTTCCTGAGTTAATTTCTTCTGCCGTTTTCTCCCATTTTCAGTCTAAGATATTGTCTGCAGTGAATTTTTTCTAGAATGGTCTTTCACGGACACCTTTTTATTGTTTACGCATGATTGACTCAATATGCCTTCGCAGCATTATGAAAACGGTGAGACTGATGAGGGAAATTAACGTTGCAAAAAAAAATCTAGAGAAGACCATGTTATGGGACCATTTTTAAGGATGTGGAGAGCACTAAGAATCGAGAACAAAGTGGAAAACACGTTTTGTAATCCATGTTTATGGTAATCATGAAAACTACTGAGCACCTAATTCCTTCAAGATTTTGCCATTTCTACCAGGATTTCAATGGCCTGACCTCTTCAAGTGATCATGGGGAATACAATAACACTGTCTATCAATATCGGTGTCTATCAATCTCTTAGAGATGTGCTCTGCACTCCACTTCTTCGGCGGCCTTCAGAGGTGAATGAATGCATATCTAGCCTATACACAGTGATGTCCTACCGATGTACCAAGTCGGTTTTATTATCCTCCCAGACAGATGTGATTCCAACTCATCAATCAAGTAGGATGTGTGGAATCGCGTGTGTATTGCAGATCATCCTTAACCACTGTGGTTACGCTCCCGCAAACCTTAGTTAAAGAAAGACCAGACCTATAAAGCAATAGAGTGAGAGTAATTCATGGCTCAACCTGAATTGGTTACTGGTTGAATTTTCTGTGATAACCAAAAATGTTCTGCTTTACTATGTTCTAAGACATTTGTTTCATCTTAAACCATTGATTCGAATCTACCGAATTGTCGAATTCGAGGTTATGGTATCTCTTGTCTATATTTATTGTGGACTGCAAGCTGAAACGAAACTTTACATGTTATTATTTATTTTTTTGCAGGTTGTGCAGTGGTAGTGATCACGTCCATTATGTAGATGACCCGATCCACCAAAGCGCTGATTTAACGCCACCCTGACTTAACCAAGATTCTTATCTCTCCGTGATCGAGAAATTGTCACCATACCAGTCTTGAAGAAAATAGTCTCATAGTCTGATTCACACGGGAATGCCTTTTCACGGCTACGCCAGGATTCCAGGGAGCATCGATTCGACCGGTATGGGATGGAATTCGCGACGAAAACAAAAACATTCTGTAGCAGCAGCCGCGAAGTCACACACAAAAGAAGTTCGAATACCATTGTAGATGACAGATGCGAGGAAACCAATCGAAAGCAAGAAGTGCTGTGATCCGCAAAGTATGATGCATGTGATGTCGGATTATGTAAGAATAATAACAATAAAGGAAAAAGCTATTTGTTTATTCGATCTCTTCATGCACGGATATCACAGGTGCGGATCCTATACCTTCTTGTATTCGAATCATTTCCTGGCATTCATGAATAAAGCATTCGGTCAATACCGATTGATCAACCCATAAGAAATGACTCGGTAGTTCGGCATCATTAATAACTGTGAAGGTGGTTCAATGCATATTTTGCAAACACAATCACCTGTGGAGGCCTTCCTATGTATCAAATCAGAGTTTTTATCCTCCCAAACAATTTTTATACTAAACTGCAAAATCCGGAAGGATCGAATGGTCGGTTTGTACGAGCCTGAGGTCGGACAGCGACCATATATGTTGCATGGCAACTCTCACCACTGCGCTCCACACGTCTTGGTAAAATGAGTTAAAAACAAATAATGTTGGAAGCTGTCAAACCAAATTATTTGACTACCGAACGATGTTTTCAATATGCCCGATTATTAATGCAGATTTAAATAGGCACAGAAGTTGCTTATGAAAGTATTCTTTATGGAACGACTCGCACATTTGGTAGGGGCTAGGCAAACACACTTCACTAGTATATATTAGAGTGCTGATCTTGATGATGACTCTGGAGAATCCAAATTGATCCATTCACTTCTATAATGGTCTCACTGAGGTTCGATAATATTCTTTAGGTGGACCTCCTGAGCACACTTTAAAAAGTGATATCCTCCATAAGAAATCTCAAAGCACGACGTGAAAAAGAACCTAATAACGGCTGTTTAGCCTTAAAGTGAATGAATGTTTCTGAACACTTTTGTGGTTATTAGAGTTCTTAAACAAAAAGCCGAAAAGCAACTTTGAGTAAAAGAAATATCAAATTGTCAATCTCATAACACCACAATATTCGTTGAAAGCATCATAATGTTAATACAGAGTTTTGAAACCAGGATAGGAATATCTTCAAGAAAACAGTCTCCTTTTTTCAACTTCAAGCAGAGTTCATCAACATTCATACCGAAGTATCTCCTATCGCTCATAGATCATCGTATTGGGAACTATTCCTCGGTCGGTGAACAATACAATATTGCTGCCGACCGTATCAAGTTGACTCAAGGGTGAAAAGTTTATGTGATAAAGTTTCCTTAACAAATAGTTTGTCACAACGAGCGTAATTATATCTTGAAAAAAATTTTGCGTTTCTTATAATTCTTAGCGCAAACCCTAGATTACCTTCCAAGTTAGTGAGTTTAAAAACTTTTAACCAAATTCCATTTGATGAGTTTTGTGCACAAAAAATACCCCAGTCGTTAGAAATGGCGCCTGGTAGAGCAAAAAAGTTCATTTGCTGGTGGCGGATTAGTTGCCGAACCAGCTTTAAACTGCCCAGCAAAAGAATAGCTAATCCTGAAATAAAAAACCCATTTGTGTTGAAATGCACCTACAGTATGCCGCTCTATAGAAAATCAACACAAAAACGGATTACTAGCAACCTTGCTTCCTATTGGCTTAGAAATTTTAAGGCAGCAGAACTATTCATAGAGAACCGCTGAGAAATACACGAAGAATTTTAAATCACAAACCACAATAATATTCGAAGGGAACAAAATACTATTGAATTCATTAGACGCTACTACAAACACGACCCAGGTTTCAATAGCGGTCAACCACAACATGGCTACATTCGTCGGTCTTGAGGAATTCGTTCTTTTCGGACTTCGAATCCCGGAGGAATTGATTCCCACTCATACCGTGCAAAAATAATACCCGCTTCCAACTTTAAACCAACGTATCTCAACTCGGAGCGCACTTTATTGCTGGTCTGGAAAGACGAAAAAAGCACTCTTTTACAAATTTTTGTACAGCATTAATGCCTGCCCCATGTGGATTCAGGAGATATGAGATAAACGCTAAAGCGTGTAAAACACTTTCAGTGAAAACTGCTACCGCCCCTGCCATTCGTCTATAAGCTCGCTACAACGAAAAGAGATGAATCAAACTTGATTTTGTGTAAAAATCTCTTCCAAATTAGATTACAGGATCAATGCAGTAGTGAAGTAACAGCACGTTACTAGAACTGGACCAATTGGATCCAGTAATTTCAGAGAAAGACAAAATTTCTAGAACGTGTTACGGTTAGGTAGATGTCTGCAAGGGTTCTGTGAAAGAAAAGCTTAGATGACAGTATTTAAAAAAAGCCAGTAGATAGATTAATGGCATTCAGTTCTTTATTGGTGAAGCAAAGAACCTGAGGCTTCTAAGACAACATGATACAAAGTACAGCAAGCGATTAAAGTATTACGGAGACGAAAAAGAAACGTGAGGTGATCGGAGAGATACGAAATTCTATATACGATTGAGAAATATAAAAGATACTCACAAACTGGCATCGTAGAAGTAGATCCCAAGCGAGCCGAGAGACAACACGAATACTAGGACGACCAGAAAGCGACCCGTTAGACTCTGACCAGATATTAATTCACCAGCCCAGTCCTTTGCCTGAAGATTTTGTGCTGGTCAACGCCTTGGTTCCCGGAAAGGGTAATAGTGCGTTCGTTCCCCACCGCAAACACGAGTTTTGTTAATTTGTGGTTGCATCACACGTAATACCCTGCCATGAAAAATCATAATAGGCAGTAAAGAAAAAGTTAACATTGAAAGTGTCTTTTTGGTTAACACCCGATGGAAGGGAGGTGAAGTCTTTCAAGTTCAAAATGGATTCAATCAACCAATCACTACTAAGCGCAATTTCTGTAAGAATGAACATTTCTTTGTTGGATTCACACACCAATTTTTCTCTTGACAATGATCTACTTCTCTAACTTTCCTATATACCAAAAACCACATGTGCCGTATTCACTTTTATTGGCAAAGATTTGCTGGAAGTTTAATTGGTTCGGAGAGTGACACAGATGACGGTGACATCCTACCTCTGTCATCCAACCTAAGTGTTTCTCTTCCTGCTTTAATGCCATACTGTCGAATTCAGCCTTGGTGGCGCTATGCTTGCTGTTCAACTGAAATGTAAACATCATAGATGCCCAACTGTCGAATTCATCAATATAACATGAAGAGTTTCTATCTCATAGGGTTAAAATGCTGCAAGTGTAAAAGGAATCATAGGGTTCTTTTTCGGTTTTAAGGGGAATATTATATGATAATCGTTGAAAAGTCGAGGTTTTTTAAAAACTATCCACTGGAACGACGACAGGGTGCAATAGATGTTTCCTTTTTTTCCGATTTTCACTTATTCTCAAAACGCCGAACGTCCTTTATTTCTCATTAGTCGACACTGTTTTGGTCGGTCTCATCGCAAGAATCGCGCGAAGATCAGAAGCGCCTACCTGGATGGTCGGAACGGCGACGATGTCGTCGTCACGTTCTCGTCGTTGGCAGAACAGATGCGTGACGATTCGCCATGTCACCACCAGAAGCATCGACACGCAGAATGTCACGATGCTAAGCATAGAACAACAAGTTTCAAGCTTTTTTTCTCGTCCATTTCACTTAAATGTGATTCTTCTTTCACATTTTTCATTACTAATGCATCTATTCCCTCAATGACTGCTTCCTGTGATTGTTCTCTCTTTTTCTCTCCCTCCCTGTCTCTCTATGGTGTTCAGTTTTAACAGGAAAGTTGGTCGCTTTAAGCCAAGAAAGTATTGAAGTTAACATCTCTTCATCTTTCCGGTTCCAGACTTAAGAACTGCAAATCTTTCATGCACGTTGAAGTAGGCTAAATTTCGCTAGTACACGTTATTTTCGTTCTGAATTTTAGCGCCGTTGACTTCTCTCCTGTTTAACTTATTGATTGAGTACAATCGTACAAAAGTTCTGTGTAGAAAAACAAACCACTGAAATGGAAATGCATAGGATACAATGCGCCTTGTCCACTTTACTCCTCATCACGCACGCATTGCGTGTAGTAGAGCTCACGCAGTATGTTGTTAAAAACATTCGAATATCTCGAGCTTTTCAAGAACGACACGTCCGAGGCGAAAAAAATCATCGGGAGGTTTTTTTGAAAACAGCATGCAATGCGTTGTTTAGTTGGACGTCATCGCAAAATTCTCACACCCATTGGAAAAAAGATTGCAACGATGGAAAATTATTGTTTCTAATGAGTCTGGCAGAAAGGGAGAGCAAAAGTTCTATTCATATTCAGTAAGAAAACGTTGAATATTCAATACCGTCATATTCTAAACAGCGGTGAATTTTTGTAACACGTACTTCTGGTCTAACCATGAAATAGTAACCCAAAATAAGCATATAAAGGAGACACGTGTAGCGCAATAGAGGTGGTCTGCAAGGAACACGTTCTGGAAAGTTCAACTCCGTGTGGCGCGCAAACTAAGCCGCTCATCTACTCCGGTTACTTGTCCAATGTAGGAAAAGTCTTTTCACCCTGAAAGATCGACAAGTGAAGTGGGGAAGAATTGGAAACACTCAATAAAGTTATCTTATGCAGCATATGGAAAATCTATTCGACCTCCATTCAGCGATGTTCATGAAGAAGAGAAAACTCTGTTGAGTCGAATGTAAATTTGAGTCCGAACACCATATTTGATGACGGAAGCACGAAAACGGATCGAATCGAAGACATGTGGATGGGTCATGCAAAAAGAACTCACAAAATCATAGTCCTGCTGGGCACGTCTGAACATCTTCTATACAATCAACCCACCGATTTCCCTTAGTTGAAGGAGAGGCCAGGATATTTCCATCCGATTTTAGTCTCATGATCGAACTAATGGGGGCCTGTAGCGCACTGGATAGAGGCGTTTTGTAGTACACATGGGATCGATCCCACGCCGCAGACTCACCATGCCGCCATCCATGAAGTCGGCAAATTGATACCTGAGTTGTCTGGGAGGATAACAGCACTGACTGTATACATCGGTGAACCACCTGGAGTATAGGTCAGATACCTATACCATTTTATAGATCAGATATGCATTCATTCATATCCGACGATGCTTAATGAAGTCGAATTCATGGCGCATCCATCACGTATTAATTAATGACGAGACCTTTATCCTTTTTTATACTCCAATCAAACTACAATTTTAGCCGAATATGCTGACTTCATTTGAAAAAACGACACACTTTTCACTTTTTCCGAAAGGGAGCCTTGACTTTGCAAAATGGGCTTCTTGCTGACCTTGCATTGCCCATGTCTATTGCAACTGTTCATGGATCTCACGCTAGCTAATGATGAGACCTTCGTACAAATATTAAGATTACGGAAACGATGAAGTGTTCTGGCTTAACACTTCATGTAGTGTTTTTATGTAGTATATTTCCCTGGTATTGCCATTTCAGGATGTGTTTACCAATATCAAAATAATAATGTGATTTGATAGGCGCTGAAATGCAACATAAGGAATTCAATAGGACCCGGCACAATATCAAATGTCGAAATGAAACCCGAGAACACAGAATGCGATCTCGACCTCAGAATTTTCAACGCAATACGTTTTGAACGAAAGATGATGAAATGGAAGAAGGAAATGAAAAGCCGAAAAGCAATTTCTACTCGATGCGGAGAATGATGAACTAGCAATCACCATTTGAAGAACATATTGCCAGTTTCAATGACTTCACATAGGATTTCACTTTCCGAACGCTACTGAAGTGGAATCAAAAAGTGCAGAAGCCTTAACCCTAGCGCGAAATATGAACGGTCAAATGTTCTCACAGTTTTAATAAATATTGCGTTTAAGTTTAAATATGTAGAATAAGCACATTAACCCTTCTAAATGGTTAACACCCCAACGCTTGTTTTTTGGATCATCCGTCTTCACATATTGTGGCCATCCAGGCACTTACCCCACACAGCTTGTTGTTTCACACTTGCTAGGCACGAAGACGTTAGGATTTTCGTGTTAGTTTACGGAGTGCTTGAGGACGCTCCCTTTGTGAATGTACCTGAACGTTTCTAGGAGCCCTTGAGATGCTCAGTGAAAACCTTCTTAGGTGCTCTAGTCAATGTCCTTTGCGGGTCCAGGATCCGAAGGTGGTTTTCGCACAGAACTATGGAACTGATTTTCTGACCGCAGAGGGTGAAAGGCTTACTAAGCTGAAATGGAGTTGGAACAGTGAACGTGGGCGCATTTTTGCAATTCCTAGCATCTGTTAGCACCGCACTTCATGCGATCCATGTTTTTCCTAGATGTTGTGTATTTCATCTCTAAAATCGCTTCTCTTCTACATAACACCGTCTCTTCGATCAACGCTCCCACCTCAATGGATTCGTCTCGATGGGACAACGAACGACTACATCACGAGAACGATCACTTGTGGATCATCAGTTCGGATCAATCGGCCCTGAAGAAGACGAAGACGTCAAAACATTAGCTTACTAAATCTTTCATGCTAACTTCGTGCCAACTCAGTTGCCCAAGAAGGTGTCGTGTACTTCAAATGATTCCATGATTCCATCCTTCAAAATTCAATAAATGCTAAATTAATTTTTCGCTTTACTTATGTTACAGGTCCGTCATATCTACTGTGCTGATCCAACACTTCTTGCATCCGTTTCGTTTCCTCGCATCCATCATCCACTAAGACCTTCGAAATTTTCGCGTGTGAAATGGCTGCTGCTGGTGGAATTTCCTTTCGTCACGAATGCCGTTGAATGCCAGTCGAGTTTATGCTTCCTGGAGTTCTTGGATAGCTCAGATAGAGCGTTCCGACTTGGATTACAGGAATAAGCTATTCCGGCAAACTTCTGGTACCAGTTTCCCGAACTCAAAGCAGTGACAGCCATGGTATTCCGCTGCGGAATTAAACTGGCACAGTGTTCATGATGAACAGCATCAATACCACTGCGCCATCCATCACACAAGTTAATACAATACTATAGTTTCAAAACTATATGCGTATATAAATAAGCATATGTATACATATATCTAGTTCAGGAAAGGGGATTTCAGTCTTAGTGAATTAAATTCAACACGCAGAGCGCTTGGAGGGGAGATGGGTGTCGCACTTTGTCGGAATCAGAAAAGAAAAAAACGGGCCTATGGCGAATATGTCAAATTATGTTCTCACAAGATGAAGTGATACCAAAAACAGCTTGATACATATTGATTGCTCAACACAAGTTGTTCCACACTCACTTCACTTTCCTTTTCTGACGTCCTAAAAGTTAGTATACTTCTAAAGATTCATTCACTTCCAGTACTTCAGAGACATGGCTATTACTTCGAATATTGTTTTTGAAACTATACAGTAGTTTACAGCAATGATAAGAAATCTGTCTTTCATCGGATATTTGAGATAAGATATCAAGATAACATAGGATATTAAGATATAATTTCTTTTTGACTTACGATAAAATCGATTAGGCGAGTAATCACCTGCTAAGCATGAAGCACCAATATTTTCGTTCTTCTAGGCATTTTCGATCTTCTTCTGTCATTTCCATGAATACACGTGACATATTGCAATTCATCGGATAGCCATAGGGCTGATTAAAGCCCTTGGCTTGGCTGCCGACGTAATGCTCACTCATTCTCTGAACAACCACTGCTACAGATAGTATGCCGTTCTTGTCGTCGTCAGATGAAATCGTAAACAAAAAACTAACAGTAAACACCTTGACGGGGTAAAACTAGGAAATTTTAGTAAAAGTGAAGAGTAGAAGTGAAAAGTAGCCAGTAGTGTTAAGTTGGCAGGGCATTCTCATAAAATGAATACTTTATTAGGACACAAAGAATATGACCACCTCTTTCTCTTAAAAAATGGAAGAAAACTTCATATCAAAAATGATTCTGAGTTTGGCAAGTTGCGAAAATCAAATTCTTTAAAACAAAAAGGAAAAGTGTAAAGTCATTTGGATAAAGTTTCATTCTCACTAGTTCAGCAGAATACATGTTTTCTATCGAAACATTTGCAGAAGAAGGGCAGAAAACCTTATTCCTACAAAACTGGGAAAAACCAGAATGAGAAGAAAGAATCTGGAGAATTTGACCGATCCCCATGCTCTTATTCCATCTTCATTTGTTTTGAGAATGAGATCGATGTTAGCCAAAGAAACTGCGATTAGCTCTTGAATTGTCAAAGTCGATTCCAGTATCAATGAAAATATCAGAGGTGCTCATAAGAATGAAACCAACGCCGTCGATAACGTGCCAGCGAACCTCGAGGAAGTTAGGGCCTCATCATTCATGATGACTAATATCATGCAAAAAGGGGTAGCGAAGAAATGAATGAACGCTACGGAAAAAAGTGAAGAGAAAAATATCTTTAACAGGACCTTATTGTTTTGCTGAAAATGGACCAAGATAAAGCCAAGCTGATAGACACACACTGAACTAACGTGTAGGTGCTGAAAGCGACCAGAATGGTCGGTCTAGCCCACCTTCGGCAGAACTGGTGAGCGTCGAGAGGCTCCGCGAGTGTAAAGGACGGTCACTCGTCCGCAGATGACGTCGACGGCATCAACAGTTCAGACCGGGTGCCCGGCCGGAGGCGATAACTCTGTGCATATCTGCTCCTCGTTCCTCATTCGATCAGTGAGGGCGTGGCCTGCGTGTCTGGCGTCGATGAGTCCGCCCGTGGCCGGGATGGATCCGCCCCGCGGCTTTGGGCGCCACCGCCGTGGAATCGATCACCGCTACCCAGCTCGTCCGGCAGTAGTAAAGTGTTGTAAGCCCACAGCCAGATGGCTTCGTTCGGCTTAAGCTTCGCATCGGCACTCATCTCGTTTGTATAATTCTGTTGTTGTGTTCGACTATTCGGTTCGTGCTTCACCGATATATCTAAGAAAACCTTATTTTCTTGCGGTTGTTTCACCAACATGATTTGGACATTATAGGAGAGCGAAGCGTCACGGTGATGTTATGAACAGGCGGCTTCGAGCATACTCACTACTTGAGAACACTTACCGTAATACTAATTATTTGAAAAGCTGCTAATAGTGGGAATGTTCTGGAGCTGTTTTCACGATTAACATTCGTTTAACTCGAGAGTGACTAACGATTTTTAGTTTGCTGGTAGCCGCTTATACGGTGTTCGTAGAACTGGAAAATTTGTTTTGGCTGGTAACTCCATTATCTTAAAAGATGCGTTCATTGGAGAGAAGTGAACACGAAAGGGTTATTCTTGCGATTTATGTTCGTCGGAGTTGCAGTTAAATCTAATGGAATGGAGTTGAATCCAACATAAATAAAGAACTCGTCGTCTAGCATTTTCTAAAGAATGGCTCACTATCGATTCCCATTCAAGAATATCATTTTCTTCCGCGATTTCCGTTGAAAAAAAAATCGAAATCGGCTATACCAATATAGTGCAAAGGATTCATTGATTTGTATTCTTTCTTGATAAGCTTGCACGAGGTTGATAAATATATTTATTTTCGGCTAACGTTTCGACGTCTTCGTCTTCCTCAGAGCCGGTGATCCGAGTCGATGGTCCATGCTTGTTGTTCGCCTCGACGTTGCGTCTTCGCCTTCCTGTCGAGCCAGATCTTCCTCAGCGAGCCATCTTCTCGAATCATTGATTTTCTTCTCGAATCATTGATTCATTGATTTCCGAATCTGTTCGCTGCTCTGGGAGTTAATCGCGAAGTGATATCCATGTTAAACTGACATTAATAGTGAATGCTGTAGGAAGTAATCGATCTTGGAATGAATGTTATAGAATCTGCGATCATACAATTACAAGAGAGTGCTTTCGATCCACCCTATGTGTTGCCACTCGATCACCTGTTTTGATAAAGCTTCCTGCTTTCTATGTACAGATGAAACATTCATCACCTCATCCAACATTTCAAGTGTCCCTGTTAGAGTTGCCAACCATTTCCGAGCATCCTCCATCAGAATACATGCAATATTCAGCGTTTCATGTATTTGTCGCTTTCAGGAACAGTAAACTTCGAAATGTGTGAGAAGTTATCTGTTCTGATATGAAGTGTTGCAAACATTGTGGACACCTGATGATATAAGAAAGTTAAAACAGTACTTTTTTGCGATTTTGTGGGTTTTCTAAATTTCTATTTCTCATCGTCTTGCAAAATATAAAAGGCATCGCGTTCGGAGTTAATCTATTCATTTGGGAAGAGGCATCCATTCAACTCTATTAAGCCTCGCAGAGGTATTCAAGGCAATGTCATTGTCCTCCCAAACTAGTCTGGTCCCAACTTAGGGACTCGGAAAGATGGAAAGCTTGACGTGCCGACGTTGCGGTATCGAACCAGAGACCGATCCCGTGTGTAATGGTTACACAGTTGTGACTTATGATATCGACCAGAAGTCGTCATTAAACATACTGTATGTGGGAAATTCGCCATGGTTTATATAGTACATGGTAATATGAAAAGATTCTAAATCTTTTCTCTAAATCTAAAAGCAATGCGCTTATTTCTTTTTGGTTAAATACACGAAGAAACTATGTACAATTTAGCCATTGTAGGGAATATGTATGTGAACGTCAACGAAACGTCACATTTTACACTTCACAACTGAACTGATAGCCGCAACAAATAAGCTGCCTCAACAGAAGATTTCCAGGGAGCCCAATACCTGTCATTCCAAAACGCTGAGCAAGCTAGAAGCAAAGTAACTGCGCCTTTGAACGGTAATGGGGTAGTGCTTCAACATATTTGGATCTTACCACTGCTCAAATTCTTAGCAAGTACAAGCATGTACACTTCATGGAAGTGAAAACTTGAAAAAGCGAGAACAAAATTTCAGTCAGATGTTTGGCAAGTAATTCATTCTATAGCAGTTTGAATGAAAATTCATAAAAAAACAAGACAAAGTTTTCAGAGTTGATCAATCCATAAGGGATGCGCCATGCATTTGACTTCATTAAACATCGTTTGGAGGTGATTGAATGTATATCCGGCTTTTACAATGACTCGCAGTGCCCCACTGATGCATCGAGCCAGTACTGCTATCCTCCTATACAAGGCTGGTACCAACTTGCCGTCCTCAGAGGGATGGAAGGCTTGGTGGGCCACGGGGTCGGGAATCGACTCTACGTGTGTATTGCAGGGCGCCTCCTACCACTGCGGCATACACGCCTTTAATGAGTGAAAACCATATTTAGAGAAAAATTGCCATCATTTAAGGTTTGAATTGCAATTTTTCATGTCAAAGTTATGAACTGATATTTACTCCGTCGATGGCACAGATCGATAGAACTAGCTGAGAGACAGGCGAAACGAAAGACCCGCATGGTGTGGTGGTGAACGCGTTACTCCCGGAAAGGACAATAGCGCCCTCGTTCCCCACCACAGACACCTGCGGTCCGGAGTTTTGCAAATATCTCAGCAATCTTGTGGTTGATATTTACTCTTTCTGTCTGACCTGCCCTCTGCCACGTACGAGTTATAAATATTTTCTTCATTGTCAGTTGCTTTTTGGCTGCTCTTCCGGCAATCAGTCACTATAAAATTCATAATCACATAATTATTAGACACATAATTTTCTTAGCATCTCTCATATCCGCGATACTTTCACTATCTCTGTATCCCTCTCATTAACAAAAGGTTCTTTGAATTAACCAACAATTTCGTCCGACGAACCATATTTACGCATTGTTAAATAGTAAAGAAAGCTTTATTATCCGACGCCTGGCAAATTAATGCATGCTTAATCGGATGAATTCAAAAGCACAGCAAAACGCCTCTGTGCAGACAAAAAAAGGCCAGACAGAAGATGAACTGGCGCCAATTCACGCTGGCCGGTCTGACTCTCAATGGATGAGTTGAAATGGACTCACACTGTGGAAGTACTGTACTAATTATAGAGCCTGAGCCGACAAGCAAAGAGAAAAACATTCGCATGCAAATAACTAAGGTGGAGCATTTTTCATACGTTTCCGAGTGAAGGTAATTATGCGCAAAGCTAAAGAGCTCATACCGCTCCTGGATCTAATGGAAAAGTCAGCGGATAGCATACGTTGTTAGCAAGCACATCATCCTCTCCCACTGCTAACCTCCCTCGAAGTCATGTACATCGCAACCCACTCATCAGTTCTTCATCGCAAATCTAAGGCTTTCTTTTCTCATATGACAATCGTACCGTCAGTGTTCCGAGTCATATATATCTCCTGAGTAAATCGATGCCAACCTTTCTCGCCGATCTTTAGGAATCTTCCGAGCCGGCAAACGAAATTTCAACAAGACCCATGCACAGGCTGAGGTGATGCTAATACATTGGGAAGGAAAAAGAACAGCTGAAACGAAAAATGAGCGACGGGCTCTAAGAATTTTAGCTCGTTGATCTCCTCTTCAATAACACGAGACTAACTCTTTTTTCCAGTAAGTTCTTCTATTTCGTTGTCGGTGTTGTCTTGACGCAACCACTTACTATATGTATTTATGTGGTCTTATAAACTGATCTTCTTTAGCTGACGCGAGGTTGGTACAGATCTTCGTTGTCGTTGTCATTGTTTTCGATGTTATTGATCGATGGCTGACGTTTCGGCGACTTCGCCTTCCTCAGAGCCTGGACGTACTTTATGTCAAGAATACTTTTATTATTCCGTGGAAAAGAAGGTTAAAGT